GAAAACACTGGAAAAGAAGCAAATGGGAGAATTTGCCAGCTATAGACTGATGAAGAACATGTATCTTAGTTCTAAAATGATTCAGTCCACCCATCAGTGCTTTGGGGACTCCCCCACGGCTCCCTCTGCCCAATGCCTAGCTCAAGGGCATCATTTTTTGACTCTGACCTGATCTGGAATTCTTTCAAGGTGTTCTTGTGATCAGGGTGGACTGGGCACACTAAAGTGGTACCATGCACACAAATGGAGCAAAGATCAGAGTTTCACAGTCATCTCCTATGGAGATTCTCTGGGGTGAAAGGGAATTGAATGCTAAGAATTCTAGATGGATTGACCTGCTCCACTGAGTGCAGAAAGAATTCATTGTAAGACATGGGGCATGGTCAAGATTAGAAAAAGCAAACCATGAAAATGGGAGTATGTGAATTTATTATTCATATAAGTTAGGGAAAAGAAGCAACTCTCAAACCTCTGAATTAGATTTTGTGGCTTGATTAGAATGATAGGAACTAATGATAACTAACATGTACTGACTGTTGGCCACATACTAGGATGTATTCTCAGTATTCTACTATGTGGATTCCTGCCTTTAAACCTCAAAAGAACCTAGTCAGACATATGGTCTCTATCTTAAAAAGGAGTAAATCTTTTATCTAAGTCTTAGAAAGGTAGAGAGGTAACTTACCTTTGTATTGTTGCAATGAGGTAGGTGGGATGGGAAACTCAAATAACTCTGGCTCCAAACTGAGCACTTTCACAGTGAGGAATACAACTTACTTGTCTTTGTGCTGGAGTGAGTGTCAGAGATAGCACTCAATAAATAGTTATGGAATAAATGATCAAAATGGTTGAGCAAATAGGGAAATAACTGGCTGTAAGAGTACACAGAAAAGGCGGGTGCTATAAGGCAGCTAACTGAAGAGTTGTGAGAACCATGACATGTGGATTTGGGGTCTCTATGCAAGCTCTACAAAAGACTTTTTCTTTCCTTGTTAACAACTCTATAGGTTCTTATGAAATGTTTTTCTTTAGATGTAGAATTTCCTGTATCCCTAAAGTCTTCCTAATGGATTTAAATGGATTCAACTCTCCTTTGAGATATTTACCATAAAATAATAAAAATTAATAAGAAACCTTCAGAAGATTTACTAAGGTTTGAAAGTCATTATTGGTAGTTAATTGCATTTTTCATTTTAAAAATTTGGGGGCGGGCAGTACTGGTGAGGGGAGGGGGAAGTTGAACTCAAGGTCTCACATTTGCGTGGCTAGTGTTCTACCTACCATCTCTGGGCTGGCTTTATGCTGGTTATTTTGGAGATGGAGTCTTGAAGACTTTCCTTCCCAAGATGACTTTGAATCATGGTCCTCCAGATCAAGCCTCCTGAGTAGGTAGGATTACAGGTGTGAGCCACTGGTACCCTGCATTAATTACATTTTAATGAATGTGCTTATTACTAACCCCATCAGAAAGATGCACGTAGAAGAAGGAAAAAGAAGCCTGCCAAGTATCCTTGATTTACTTTTCTTGACATAGATAATATTTTTCCAGAAAAGTGATCTGCGTGTGTGTGTGTGTGTGTGTGTGTGTGTGTGTGTGTGTGTGTGTGTTGCCCTAGTCCAAAAGAGAAGGTCATTGTGGCTAGTTTATACATTATATAGGGATTGTGATGATAAAATTAGAAGACGTGGAGGGCATTATTTATAATACTGAGAATCAATAAGCACTCGATGCATAACTATTGGAGGATGGCTAACCAACTTGTAATTTCATGTCCTAATGAAAGTGATATACAGCCAGCCTCAGCCAATAGGCTGAAAACGCCTTTCCTATAATGTCAAATGTGCAAATCACTATGCAGTTGAAAGGAAAGTATGCTCCCAAGTCTGTAAAGGAGGAAAACTAAAGTCTTTCCAAAAACAAAGTCTGAAAGTAAAATATCATACAGTATAAATCATGTCGTCTGATGTATATGAGCAAGGAGTGGGACTTTTTTTCCTCCTACTTTTCCATCTTTTCTAAACTTTTCTGTAATTATGTAAATCCAGGTTGACAAAGATAAAAGTGAAATAGTATTACAGTTTTAATGGGGGTGGAGGGGATTAGTTTTATTTTTAAACCTATCTCACAAAGGATTTAAAAGCAATAAACTTTTTTATAAAAAGTAGCTGCAAAGGAGCTTTGAAAGTTAAAATGTTTCTGTCGATGCAGTAAACAGAGCCTTCTCTTGCCTGGCATTGCTTCAAGGAATGGCAATCTGATTCTATTAACTGGTGCATTTTGTTTTAAAAAGCCCCGAGGGGAATCTTCTTCTTCAGGAAGATTGCAGGCGCCAAACTTTCAAACTTCCGCTGCTTTGCCAGGGTTTGGCACAGAAGTAGGTGTTGGGTGTGGGCTGGACGCTTCAGCAGAGAGATGGCTTTGAATCCATCACTTTTGACCTTCTGGGAATTGAAGTCTGGCAGGTCTCCGTGATTTAGAGCTGAGCTTGGTAATGTGTGCCGAAGCAGCACCGTAGAGAAACACATCATCAAGCTCAGAAGAAAGAGGCACCGGCTGCAAGGCTGCTGTCTGTTCGGGTCACCCCGGGAGGACACAGCCTACCTCGTGGATCATGGAGGAAGACATAGAAAGCTGGAATCTAAGTGAGTGAATCTCCCACTACTCAGGGTGACTCATTGAGATCATGTGTTGATCAGATGTTGATCTCTCTGAGCTCCGGTCTGGTCTCCTTACTTATGAAATGGGGATGATATCTACTCTCTATCTCACAAGTACTGGAGAAGAATAAAGCAAGGTGATGAATAGGAAAATATTGTGCCAGCTATCAGGGTACGTGGATGTGTGGTGTGGGGCTCTGTCATGCACGATCCGCAGCCATTTCTGAGATATGACATCTAAGAGCCTGTGAAAACTGCCCTAAAGACTTCCCATGTGTCATCTAATTACGGTGTAGATAACATAACTGGTTCCATTTTACAGATGGGGGAAGCTGAGGCACGGAGAAGTTATGTGAATTCTTCCAGATCACAGTTACCCAGTTGAGGCATTCAGGCAGCTGGACTCTAGGCCCTGATAGGAAAGATTTTTTTTTTCCTCTGACGCATACGAGGAAGCCTCTATGTGGCTTTCTATTCATTGGAAGCTTGCGTTTCTTACATTAAAGAGCTGTCAATGTTGGAAGCAGGTTTTTAATGTTTAACCCTAATCCATGTCTTCCTTTACAGTACTAGTATCAGTCAGTAAACATGTCATTGAAAGATTTTTTTTCCTCTGAAATTCTCCATACTAGTTCTTTGGATTTTGATGTCATCTCCTAATTCCTAGTTTCCTGCCTTTATGTACATAGCAGTGTTTGAAGTCACTATACTCTGAGGTCAAGTATGTTTGCTAATATAAAATCAGGCTCTATTGATTGATGTTTTACTGCATACATCCGGGCAGTCATGGTTTGGCAGCATTACGACTTTTCTGAGGCATTATTTAAATGTTGAGTTACATGGGAATAGACCAATGGAAGTTCCACATCTACTCTGGTACCAATGTCTAAATAGGCTAGAATAAACCAGGCTCTGCTTCAATAGCAAACAATCCTCGAACTACAGTGGCTTAAAACAGCAACAGAGGAGGGCCTTGCTTACTGTACATATTCTTAAAGGGGATCCGAGTTGATGAGCCAGCAACTATTGGGAACATTTTAAACTTTTTTTCCCTCTTCCTTCCTTCCCTGTTCCTTTCAGCAACAGCTCATTGAGATAGGATAGATACACACACCACTCAGGTGGCCAAAGTTACATGCAAACTTGGAGCTTCTAGTTTCACTCTTGGCTCATTTCTATCAGGTAGCTGTAATGTTCTTAGTTAACAATGTAGAAAACTCTAGAAGTTCCTTTCTTTTTATTTTTGGTTTAAAAATTAGGGGAAGCTCAGCCTTCTCTGTACCATCAACCTTAAGAACCAGGGAGCAGGAGAGTCATTGGCAGATGTTCAACATCCCCAGCTTCTGGATTATTCCCTTCCTGCTCTGGGCCCGCCTCCCTGCCTCCCTACCCTTCCTGTGTTTTGCACATGCATACTGGATAGCTCTGGTCTCGGCAGGCCTTGTGAGAGGTGGCTCCTGGCTTAGATTAGCTGGGAATCATTTTAATTCTGAACTAGCCTAAACAGAAAGAAATCTCCTTTGCCACTTGACATAGTATGACAACAGTATCAGGAGTCCTTTTTTTTTTTTTATGTGCTAGTCCTGGGACTTGAACTCAGGGCCTGGGCACTGTCCCTGAGATTTTGGCTCAAGGCTAGCACTCTACCACTCTACCACTTCTGGCTTTTTTGGTAGCTTATTGGAAATAGAGTCTCATGGACTTTCCTGCCTAGGCTGTCTTTGAACTGTGACCCTCAGATCTCAGCCTCCTGTAGTTGGGATTATAAATACAAGGCACGGGTGCCCAGTAGGAATCCTTTCAAAATGAAGAAAGAGACATTGGTGCATTGTAGCCTTCTTTCCAAACTAGATGACTTCAGATACTTTGCTTGAGATGACTTAGGGACTTGAGGGTGGGGAAGAGACTGATCCAACACACAGTCCTCTAGTGCCATCGTCTTGGGTTCTTATTTGAGCTTTATTTTGGTGACATTGGCCATACCAGGGAAACACATTCATCTTTGGTTTTCTAGGTTGTGAGTTTTACCATTTAAGCCATATTGATGAAACAAAACACTTCTTTTTTGAATGTATGAGAATCCTCCACATCTTTTCCTAAACCTCTCTCTACTGGAGTCTCCTTTGTACCAGCCCTGCCCTGTGGGGTTAGCTGCAGTGTTTGCCACCTTGTCATTATTGAAGTCATTGTTTGAATTGTTTCTGGAGTCTTCCATAAGGGGCAGAAGTGTTCTGTGACCCAGGGCCTGTCTTACCTACCCCTCATCTCCAGGACCTGCCCATGGGAATGGGGGTGGACACCTTCTGATCAGCATGTCTCACTGAAGATACTTTGTTTCACAGGGACTGACAACCTACAGATACACCTCACCCCCACCTCAGAGCCACTCCCTCATGGGAAGTTGTTACCAATTTCACCAACATGGCCTTTCTCCGAAGTCAAGTCTTCCTGGGCAGCAGGCAGAATCACCAATGGGCTGGGCCAGTCCTCTGACAATACGAGCTTGCTGAAGGTAGCCTGGACACTTCCACCCAAGGCACATCGCAGGACCCGGGCTCCCGTGGACCTCTCTTCGCTTTACCAAGGAAGTGGATACAGCACCTCCCTGGACACTTCCAAGGATTCCACTGAACCCCTGGTCCAACCAAGGCCTCGAGGAGGAAGAGAAGAGGCAGGCACATCAGGTTTGCCTCGCCCCAGCATGCGTCCCTCCTTGTCCACCATCCCATCAGCTCCCCTGAGTGCTGTCTCCTCATCCCAGTCACCAGCAGGGACTCCCTCCCTTTTAAAGTCTCCCCCAAGGTCAGGCAGTCTCAGTCTCTCTCTTTCCCCTCCACCTTCATCCCCTGCGTTTGCCCCTGGGTCATCTCATTCCATCACCTTTCCCAAGACAGTAGAGCAACCCACCGATCTGACTTTGTTTCTCCAAACCACACCAGCTGCTTCCCCTTTGAGTCAGAGCCACACTCATGCCCTAAACCCATTTGCTGAGAACACAAATGACACTCCACCCAAAACTCCCCAGGATTTCATAGGTACCCCTCGGCTAGGTTTTTCTAGAGCCTCGACAAAGCGGTACTCTGAGCTGTCCCCAACAGAGAGCCCCCATTCAGCCGGCTCAACCACGTTTGGGGTTTTGAGCTCCATGGTAAAACTGGCCCATCTGTTTCCCCCTTCTCCCATCCCTGGAGATCTTCACCAGCTTCCGGGTCGATCCCCCTCAAGGTCCATGTCGGGCATAGCTTCAAGTTCTGCATCCACCCAGCCAACCCATTCTGTGGGGCCTGAAAGAGCTCACAACGGGGGATCTGTGCCGACTTCTAAGAGCACAGCAGCAGTGAGCCATGGGGCTCAGCCTCCACTTTTCCAGCCTGCAGAATCAGTGACCAGCAGAGAGCCAGCCCCTGCCACTCCTCCAGATGACTCTGCTAATCTTCCATATTTGTCAGCAGTTCCAGAGAACCCCAGAGGGCCCTCCCTGGCAGTAGAACACACATCTTCTTCTTTGGTGCCTCCTTCTCTGTCTTTCACCATGCCCAGTCAAAGACAAGCCATCCTTTCTGAGGCAGCTCCTTCGTTGCCATGGAACCGAACGGATGACCTTCCCACCCTGCTTACTGTCCTCCAGCCTGGAGAGGATCATGCCTCTCCAGCCCTTGTGTCCCAAACATCCATTCCTGCTGCAACCACAGACTTCCCCATCTCCAGTAACGTTCCAGATCTTTCTACAACTTGGACATTCCCCTGGCACCAAGGGGACAGGGCGCCAGCTCTCCTGGGTACCAACGCTAAGGCAAGCGTGACAGTTCCCTTACAGGTCCTTCCAACTCTTCACACGGTACATAGACTCACCTCTGATGTCAGCACTGATCGTAATTCATCTCCCTCCACCACCACACCGAGAGCAATCTTCCATCCTTTAGGATCGCTTCCTCCTCCTTCCGTGCCCACCATCCAAGCCACCCAGGCTGTTACCCCATCACCTGGCTTTTCTGTCACCAAGCTGGAGATGAACACAGCTGCCGGGGGCCAGTCAGTGCTGCCAGCTTCAACTTCCAAACAGGTGACAGCGCTTCCCCTCTCTGTGGACATGTATGATTTCTCAACAATGGGAGACACGAGAAAGCCAGCAACCACAGATGTTTCCCGGAGTTCTCTTTCAGCAGAAACTGGAGCCCTTTCCACAGAATCAACACTCTCTGGCTTGCACCAGCAAACAAATTATGATTTCAATGGTCATACAATTAAGCCCACAAGTTGGGAAACTCATTCAGCTGCAACTACTCTTCCCGAACGAACTTCAGCTGCCAAAGCATTAAAACCTCAGAATTTCAATGAGATGGCTGGGCAGTCCGTGGCTTCAGAAAGATCTAACGTTCAGGATGTACTCCTTGGACCAAGTAGTGACCGGACTGTACAACAGTCAGGTGTAAGCGGGGCTGTAAGTCACTCGGACCTCTGGCCTACAAGCCGTAGCAACTCTTCTAGAGACTTTCAAGCAGCGAAAAGTGACTATTATCCATCCACAAATCAACATTCTGCTTTGCAGCCCCATCTCCAGCTGCCTGTCCAGTTAGCCCGTCCTCTTTGGCTGACCTGGCCAAGTTTGACTTCTGCAGCTACTCACATGCAGGAAATGCTTTCCGATGGAACGGACACAAGTTCGGAAATTTCCAGTGAGCTCTATGGATCACCTGGGAGAAATACTTCCACGCCATTCCAGAGTATCCTGGGTGATCACTCAGTTGCTGACTCTTCTCTTAAATCTACCAGTGCCTTTCCCAAGGTCCCCTCCAAAGTGCTGCGAACTTCTCGGCGCCCCCCAAAATGGACAGGTGCAGCCACGAATGCAGGTAGTTTGTTTCACGGGACCCAGAAAACAGGTATGACTGCTTTCGTGGCCAAAGCATCTTCAAGCTCAACACCGACACCCAGCTTTGCTCTGAAGGCCCAATCCTCCTTTCAGTAGTGAGCTAGCAACCCCAAATAGGCATGCTGTCGAGCCTCTGCCCACTGGCGTTTCCTTCAGAATTTGTGTTTTCATTGCCGTTTTCCTGTAAATGGTGGTCTTGTTATGTCCATGGTCTTAATGAGCCTGAGGTTGTTTTCTTACCTGAGTTCTTAAACACTACAAACCCAGAGTGCAGAGATTTCTCACCCTACCCCTGTAAGTTGCCTGCATTCATCTTCAGGATGGGCGATGTGGGCATCTGGGCTGTGACAAACATTACCTTTTCTCTCTTTGCAGTGAGCTCCTCAGTGTCATCCAACCTAGAACCAACAGCAGCTGCCGCCACCACCACCTTGTTTTCGAGGCGATCAAGTCCAGCCGCACTGTCTGCAGCCCTGGTTGCCAAGGGGACCAATGGCAGCAGTTTGACTACAGCTCTAGCTAAAAACATCACCAACAAGGCAGCACCTAGCCCAAAGATGGCAGCAGCTGCAGCTCATACAGCTTTTCCATTCACCCCAACTTACATGTTTGCCAAAACTGCACATACCATGAACACACATACAGCCATGCCAGGGAACACGGGAACTGCCTCTGGTCTCTTGTCCACCACACACCTCCCCAGGAAACCACAAGCCATGTACACAGGCGTCCCAAACCCCACCAAGCCAGAGACGCCCAGAGCATCGACCCCACGCCCACTGACAATCACAGCAGCCTTGACATCCATGACGGCATCAGTGAGGGCCACCCGGCTGCCGCCGTGGCAGGCAGTAAACACCGATGTTGCTCTTTCTGCTGTGTCAACAGCTGCGGTCACAGCTGGAAAAATGGCATCCAACCTGGAGTGTCAGATGTCCCAGAGGCTCCTGGTGAAGACAGGTGAGAGGCACTGTCTGAATTAACTCACAAGCATCAAGTCTGGCCTCAGAGACACAACAGAATTCTTTTCTCTTAGAATAGCAGTTCTCAACCTGAGGTGATTTCCCCCTTCCTCGGGTGGAGGGAATGTTTGGCCATGTGTGGAGACAGTTTGAGTTGTCCCCCTGGGGAAGGGGCTGTTGGAATTTAGTGGTTAGGTACCTAGGATTCTGCTAAATGTCCTACAATCCATGAGACACCTTAATAGGAAGAAGCCATCCAGGCCAAGCTAGGTGGTCATGGGCTGACACCTGTAATCCTAGCTATTTAGAAGGCTGAGACCTGAAGATTTTGGTTTATAGCCAGTCCAGGTGGAAAAGTCTCCAATTAACCAGCAAAAAGGCAGAAGTGAAGGCATGGTTCAAGTGGTAGAACACCAGCCTTGAGCTAAAAAAAAGTCAAGCAAGAGCATGAGGCCCTGAGTTCAAGCCCAAGTACTGGCAATAATAATAATAGTAATAGTAATAATGATGATGGTACTCCAGCCTAAGATGTCACAAAGGTTGAGAAAGCTTGATCTTCATCAAGGAGTAGAGGAGAGAGCAGAGGAGACAGAAGGAGAGGGCAGGGGATAGAAAGGGAGAGGAGAGAGGCAAAAGGTGACTAAGATTCTAGTCCTAGGATTAGCCCTAGGGAAGTGACAGTTCCTCCAGGGGGTTTCATTACAACTGCACATCATGGTTTGTCTAAAGCCTATCAGTGATGCCTCATGAAATATGATTCAATGAGCACAAAATCTCAGGAAGTGCTATGATATTCAGCAGGGTTTTATGTCATGCATATTTTTCACCAGCAGAAATCAAGAGTACGGCTCTTGTATACAAGGCGGGAGCCTAGGCTTTCTTGTGATGTTAAAAAAAAAAAGGAGACTTGCCTTAAAAAATGAGCAGGGAATACTGGAACCATGAGCAGAGTGAGGATGCTGTCTCTGTCTTCCTCCCCAGGAAAGACGGCCTAGCACAGGGTACTTTGAATAGCGTGGTAGTGTTTGCTACCAAAAAAGCATTGGACAAATTATTTAAAAGAGTATGCCAATGTTGAATGCTTGTAGCCCCGCTTTCCTTCTGGCCCCACAAAGAATTAAATGAAAGTATATCCTGAGACATATCCTATTCTAAAATGGGAAATGGTGAAACTAATCTTAGCAGAAAATACAGTATCTCTTTCTATTTCTCAAGAAATGAAACCATCTGCTTTTCTGCTCCCCCTCCCCCTCGCCACATCCCCTCCCTCTCAGAGGGGAACGCAGCCCAGGCCCCTTCAGGCATAAATATCTTCCTCTCTTTCCTTTTGCCCCACCTCCACCCCCCTGCCACATAAAGCCAGACACAACACTTCTCTTCATCCTGGTTCACCTCTAGTGACATTATCCCGCCATTATCACCCACTTAAATTTCTGCAACTCCAGCCACATTTATCTCTCTTCAGTCTGTTCTCTAGACTGTAGTCAAGGGAACCATCTCAAATGCATCCTTTTGCTTCAAACTCTTCATTTCCCATTGCCTGCAGGCCCTGAACATGTACACTGACATATTTCACTTGTCTCTTCATACGTCTCTGACATATTTCTCTTGCCACCTTTGCACGTGGCCTTCCCTCCAGAAGGAATATGGAGGAAGGGGGGCAGCAATCGCTCTTCCTTTTATCCAGGACACACCAAAGCATTAGTACCTATGGAAACTTCTCTAGTTCTAGCCCCTGGCCCAACTCAAGGCCAGATGCCCTTTTTTAGAAACTCTGACAGCATCCTGGGCTTCCCTTCCAATCACCTGTCACATCCAATCACATGTGCCCATTCTTCACTCACTTGCTCCTTCTGAATTGAGGGTTGTTGGAGGCTACAGCACCTAGTTCAGGGCCTGCACCTAAGCAGGCCACCCGCAGATGCCATGGGAGGACATTGGTGACATGCAGAATCACCAAAGGGCAGAAACCCCCAGAGCTCAGCTCTCAAGGTCAGAGGTTAAGTCAGAAATCAAGTGCCATCCACGTACCAGCTGGTGTCCATTAGGACCCTACAAATGACTAAGGCTTTCTTTCATTTGGACTTTAGCAGGACAATAATCACTAACCCAGCCTAGCTCCTCATCTCCACCTATGTTTATCAACTGCTCAGAATTTGTTGAGTTGGTGGCTGAGAGAGATGAGGGTGGGGCAGAAATTCTGCTCCCTGTCTGGTCCATACCACACTCTAATGACTATTCTTCTGTTTCACCCCCCACAGTTATCTTTCTAATGCAGAGAAGAATGCCGAGCAGCGATGCCTTGAAGTTCAGCGTGGCCAAAGGACTCACGCAGGCCTTGAGGAAGGCCTTCCGCCAGAATGATGTACTGGCTCATGTAAGATCCTTGCCTTGCTTGGTAACCAGGCCCATACAGCCCTGTCTCCCTGTCAGGCCAGAGCATACACACATGGTTTCCCTCCTTCTTAGGTACATATCCACGCTTGCTAGAAGTGGAGTCACTCAGCATTTTGACCAACAACCTATCTATTGTGGCTGGAGAAAAGGGTCCCATTTTCAGAATGAAAACTGAGACTAATTGCCTTACATTGGATATTATTTTTAAGGCCTGAAATATACTGTTTTAAGCAATGCTATTAATCCATCATTTAAGAAGAGTAGTTAACATTGTAATTCTCTACAGGAGATCCTTTGCTTTTTTTTTTCTGCTTTTTTCCCTTCTTATCATTTATTCCATGATAAACAGTGACTTCTTTCTGGACATTTAACATTGATTTCAACTTGTAAATTCAGGCCAACTTTGCTGAGATTGCTGGCAGCAGAAAGGGAGTTAAACTCCCCTTCCCCATCCTCCCTGTCTCCCCTCCCCCACCTCCATGCCAAATACTGTTTAACAACCACCGGCTGATTTCAATGGCATAGCCAAGTGATAGAAGCTTTGTTTCACACTCTTTTGGTTTCATTCCAAGTGTGAAAGCAGTAAACACGATTGGCAGCCAGTAGACTCCCTTTTTAACCACTTTAAAATATTGTTCTGGCCGCTTCTTGTGATGTCCTGTTTGACAGCTACATTCAGCTTGGTGGCTCTCCCCCACCCATTGTACCAAGGGCTGGGAAGGAGATTTGGCACATGGCTGATTAGTCATTGTCAATCTCTCTAGAAAAAAGAAATAAAAAGAACAACTGGAGGAAGGAAAAAATAAAGAAGAGAAAAAGAAATGCATTTTATGAGAGGGTTCTTTGGTTTCTCTACTAGAAGCTTACAAATTTTCAATTAAAAGATGAATATGGAGGGCTGGGAAGGTGGCTCAGTGGTAGAGCACTTGTCTTGCATGCATGAGGCCCTGGGTTGGATTCCTCAGCACCACATAATAGAAAAACCTGGAAGTGGTGCTGTGGCTCAAGTGGTAGAGCACTAGCCTGGAGCTGAAGAGCTGGGGGACAGCGCCCAGGCCCAGAGTTTAGGCCCCACAACTGACAAAAAAAAAGATTAAAAAAAGATGACTATGGAAATATTCTTTAGTGATGTGATACAGTTTTTAACTAAATTCCAGTCATTTTCCACCTGCTTTCACAGCACTGATCTTCTGGCCTTCACTGCATTTCATCACTGACCACTGCAACAATTAGATCTCTCTCTCTCTCTTTCTTCCTATCTCTCCCTCTCTCTCCCCCTCTCCCTTTCCCTCTCCTTTTCTCTTCTTACTCCTCCTCTCTCCTCCCTGCTCCCTTCTCCCCTTCCCCTCTCCCCTCTCCCCTCTCTCCTCTCTCTTAGAATTGGGAATTGAACTCAGAATCTTGAGCTTAGGCAGGCACTCTACCAGTTGTACCTGTACCACAGCTCTAATCCTTTTTGTTTTTCGTTTGTTTTTCAGATAGGGTCTCATGCGTTTGCCTAGGTTGGCCTCTGACTGTATTCCTCCTACCTCTACCTTCTGAGTAGCTGGAATCACAGGCATGCACCACCATGCCTAGACCAGCATTATTCCTCCTCCTCCTCCTCCTTCTCTTTCTCCTCCTCCTCCTCCTCCACCACCACCACCTCTTCTCTCTCTTCCTCCTCCTCCTTTTTAAATTAACTTATTTTAAAAATTAAATTTATTTACATGTTATACTTTTCAATTCTTTGGTATTACCACCATAAATAGAAATCAAGGTCGTTTGCCAAAAATAAAAGCTAGTGGTAAAAATGAGAGTAAGGGACATGAAACAGCTTGTGAATACCAAGCTAGGTATTTTTGACTGCACAAGGCTCAGAGACAAAGCCTGATGTCCCTTTGCTTGTTTGTTTAAGAAGAAGAAGAAGAAGAAGTGAATAGTAAATAGTCCCAGAACCAAGGCTTGCTCTTTGAGTTGATTGTAAGGGTTGGAAAGGAAGGAACTTTCTCACTGGATAAAGTAGATGTTCTGGGTTGTGTCAGTGCCCCCCCCCAAAGCCCCTCTGATTCTACCTACAATCATCTTTAACATCATCTTTAGAGAAAGAACCAACAGGGAATGCACTGTGGAGGGACTAAAGCATACCTGTCTCGTTGCAAAAATCAGTCATCTTGGTTTCTTTGGAAAATACCTGTGACTCGGGTCTTCATATGTGCTAGGTGTGTGCTCCACCACTGGGCTAAACTCTCAGCTTCATGAGGCATTTCTAATGGAGATGCAGGACTCAGCAGAAAGGCAGAGGTTCCAAACATAATATAGAGGTCTAGGTTTACAAGATGAAAAGCATGCTGGGTGATGCTGCTGGTTGCAAAAGTATTTCATACTACTGAACAGCACACTTAAAAATGGTTAAGATGGCAGATGGTATTTCATGTGTAATTTACCAAAATACAATAAAAATCGGGAGCTGGGGATATAGCTCCGAATATAGTACAGTCTATTCAAAGCCCTGGGTTCAATCTCCAGCACTACCCAAAAAGAAAAAAAAGGAAAGTAGTTGTTATGAAGTAATATCCACAGGGGAGGCATACATATATTATGTGATTATATGTACATATTTATCTGTGTATATACATACATATATATGTGTGTGTGTGTGTGTGAAATATGTCTATTCCTAAGGAAAAATAACTGAAAGGGAATATACTCAGAAGTTGTTGTAGAATTGTATTACAGCAGTAGTAGAGGCAATTGTTAATTTTTAAGTAAATGTTAATTCTATAATAAGCAGTACATATAATATATTAAAACAAACACTTGGCACTGTACATATGAGATACCAAGAAAGCAAAATTTTAAACAAGAAGTTCTAAACCTTCAAAATCTTCCTAATGAGACAGACAGAGTTCAGTGTCTCTTAGTACAGAGCTGGGAGATAAAAGCTCTCCGAGGTTTCTCCTATAACCTTGGCCTTGAACCAGTGTAGAAGCAAGGTGTAGAGCCAGTCTGAACGACTCGAGGTTCAAAGCCAGCCCGGGCAGGAAAGACTGTGAGACTCTTATCTCCAATAAACTGCTCGAAAACCAGAAGTGGTGCTGTGGCTCAAGCTGTAGAGCGCTTGCCGTGAGCTGAAGAGCTGAGGGACAGCGCCTAAGCCCAGAGTTCAAGCCTCACGACCGACAAAAAAAAGAGAGAGAGAGAGAGAGAGAGAAAAGAAATCGCTTTTTTTTTGCCAGTACTTTAACTCAGGACCTTGTACTCTCTCTTGCTCAGCTTTTTCACTCATGACTAGCATTCCACTACTTGAGCCAAGAGTCTCAGATTTGTCTGCCTGAATTTGGCTTTTTTGGGGGCAAGGGGTAGTCCTGTATCTTGAACTCAAGGGCTTGGACTCTATCCCTGAGCTTTTGCACTCAAAGTTAGTGCTCTACCATTTGAGCCACAGCTCCATTTCTAACTTTTTGTAGTTAATAATTAGAGATAAGAGTCTCTCTGACTTTTCCTGTCTGTGGCTAGCTTTGAACCATAATCCTCAGATCTGGGCTCCCAACTGGGATTGCCTTTAACATACTTTTTGACTTCTCCCTTAAGATGGCTCACTTAATGAATCATTTCTGCCTTTTTTTTTTTGGAGGGGGGGTTAGTACTAGAGTCTGACATTAAGGCCTTGGCTTTCTTGCTCACAACTGGTACTCTACAACTTGAGCCATGCCTCCAGCTCAACATTTTGCTGGTGGAGTCTCATGGACTTCTCTGCCTAGGCTGGCTTCCAACTGTGATCCTCCAGATCTCAGCCTCCTGGGTAGCTAGGATTACAGGCATGACCCACCATTTAATTCTCATAAATGATAAGAAATGTCACAAAGCTGTTTTTACCAGCATTCCATTTGCTATAAGTATTTCTGCCTGCTGTCTCCTCTCTGTCTTTTTGCAGCTAATTAGCACTCACAGGATTATACTGTCACACTCAGCAAAGCAAAAAGCAAAGAATTCAATTTTATCTCATGGATTGGATGTGAACTTTATTCTGTTGTATTGTGATGCTTTGAAATTTACTAATCCACGTATGCTTTACAGAATTGTGAGACTATTTGTTGAATGAGAGCATCTTATTTCTCAGACTTGCTAAGTAACCGTCGTGGCTCAAAGAACTTAAAGTATGGTGCAAAATAAACAGTGAGTTCGGGGGGGGTCCATTTGTTTTGTAGGTGGACATTCTGGAACATTCTCATAATGTCACGGTTGGTTATTATGCTACTAAAGGGAAGACGGTCTACTTGCCGACTGTTGTGGTGGATACGCTGGGTGTTTATGGAGTCAGTAATGTCACTGCAGATCTGAAGCAGCACACCCCAAGCTTGCAGTCTGTGGCCATTCTTGCCTCTCCATGGAAGCCCCAGCCTGCAGGCTACTCCCAGCTGAAAACAGGCAAGTAACTCAGAAGGAAAGGATTCCTATGTATAGTAAAATCAAGGCCAATGTCAAATGGATATCTGCCTTGAACTCCATTGTTAGCTGTTCTGGCATCTTTTTGAAATTATTTGTTTATGTATTTATTTGTATTTGGGGGTAAGAAGGGGGGTTGGAAGAAAATGATTGAGGAGGTGACACTGTTCAAACAGAAATGTACTCATTGCTTATGTAGCTGACCCCTTTGTATATCACCTTTACAATAATTAGAAAAATGACAAAACAAAAATAGAGTGGGTGGAGGAGAGGGGTGTAGTTCAATTGATAGAGTGCTTGACTAGCAAGGATTCAATCTTTAGTACTATAAAAAATATCAATCAATTAATGAAATTACTCTGCAAGATATGATGTTTTAGGTGTGTATTATACACTCATATACCCTGGGCAGTATTTTCTTGCATTTGTGTACATTCGTTTACATGAACAAAATGTTCCTGTGTGTTCACAGGAGGACCTATAAAGAATATTCATTGCAGCTGTTTGCCTGTAACAATGAAAAATGTAAAACAGCCAATTTGCTCGTCAATAAAGAGTTTTTAAACTGGTTTAATCATACCAAAGATAAGAAGTATTTTAATCTAGTTACCCCATGTTATACCAAGTCATGAATATAAGTCACATATTTAATTTACTTACAGAAATCTAGGAAACAATAAAAAATGTGTGTATAGATTGATGAAAAGCTGCACATTCCAAGAATGGTCACAGGTGTAGATAGCACAGAGCTCACCCTGATCAAAATAAAAGCTCCTGACATTCATGTGCAAAGAAATTACCTTTAGGTCATGACCAACAGAAAGAAAAATCAGGACAAATAATCAGCAAACCTTCTGGAAATGTGTATAGCAATATGCTGCATTGAAGGGTTAAAATCAGATTCTATTTTAGCCTCAAGCTCTTAGGGAAAAAGAATCAAAAACATTTTCTGTTGTCATCTATGTACATCAAGAACTATTCACACTTAGGGCTGTGCACAGGTATGAAAGACCTACAGTATTCTCCCTAACCTTTTCCTTCAGTTAGGGAGCCTGTTGGCTCTGGGGCAGCCTAGCCCTTTTTTGGCATATTTTAAGCCTCCTTGTGTACTTTTTCAAATGGCCTGCCAATCAAATGTCCAAGTCTCCTGTACATTGGCCTATGCTTTTTGAACCTTGCATATATTAAAAATGTTCTATCCTTGGAGCTTTTTGCAATTAGTACATAGGAACACTGAGTACTGAAGTTTTTCTCCTTGTCTTACCAATGAATACTAATGAGTTGAACATCCATAAAATGTATAATGTGGGTCAAATAGGTTTCCAATCTAGGTGTCACTACATCAGTTTAGATCATGGGATCCTTCTTTCTTTTAACCTTACTGGCAATTTCTGATTTGCAACGTTTGTAAACCACAAGGGCAGAGGGAAAACAGAGAAGATGAGACAGTAAACTTAGTAATGGAGGTCAATTGATTTCCCCCCTCTGAAAAAGAAGGCATGTTTTTCTCCTACATTAGTGTGTGTGTGTGTGTGTGTGTGTGTGTATGTGTGTGTGTGTGCACACGAGTCTGCTAGTACTCAGGCTCGAACTCAAAGCCTGATGCTGTCCCTTAGCTTTTCCAGTCACGGGTAGTGTTCTACCACTTGAGCCACAGCTCTACTTCTGGCTTTCTGGTGGTTAATTGCAGAGAAGAGGCTCATGAACTTTCCTGCCTAGGCTGGCTTCGAACCATGATCTTCAGATCTCAGCCTCTTGAGTAGCTAGGATTACAGGTGGGAGCCATTGTTGCCAACTTCTTAGCGCCAACATCTGCATCTTCCAGTTGGAGAAAATCACAACAGCCTTTGCACTGGAGGGAATCTCAGACTCCGTCTGAGATTCTTCAAATTTTTCTTTGTTACAAATCGTTGTAAGAGCTGCTTTTGAAACTATAATCAACTTGTCTGGTCCTATTGTTTTATTGGCCTAATTTCTCTAACCTAAAATCATGCTGTTTTGTATCATGACTGCTATTAAATCTGAGGAACTAAGAGGAAGCACTTGGGTGAACACTGATTTATAATTCTCATTGTAGTTCTGCAGTTCGTGAGCCAGTCAGACAACATACAGTCCTGCAAGTTTGCCCAGACCATGGAGCAGAGGCTGCAGAAGGCCTTCCAAGATGCGGAGAAGAAGGTCCTCAATACCAGAAGCAATCTGACAGCGCAGGTAGGGGTTACAGGCTTTGCGCTTGACAGTCAACCATAATGGGAATTTATTTGTAACCAAAACTATGTCCTATGGTTTCAAAGCTGCTTGTAGTTTGGGTTAGTGAGGGAAATGGACATCTGTTGGTGAGGCTATGACAGAAGATGCTGTGTCACTCTATCTGCTATGTAGATAGAGTACAGAGGGGTTACAATTACATGGGCAAGGAAATGAGTACATTTCTTATCAAGCATTGTAGCCTCCTCCTTTGTTTCCCCTTCCCATGCCTTCCCATCCCCCCATACCTCCCTCCCTCCCTACACATACCCCCTCCCCACCAGCCAAAGTTGTAAAGTTCGTTTTTTGACATAACGTCTTGTACATCTCATTGTTGCAATGGGTCCACCGGTATCCCTATTTAAACAATTTGTTTTTTCCATTCCCCTCCACAAAGTATACCAACATCAAATACAGTGAAAACAGAGGTTGTACCATGGGGGAGGGACATATAAAGCAACAAAGAAATCATCTGATAAATATGTTAGAAACAATCACAAGAAAGAAAAAACATTTGAATCCTTGTCTTGGGGTTCATTTAGCCTAACATCAACTTATCTGACCGTTTCTACTTGTCTCAGACACATGTTAGTAATTGCAAATAAGGGAAACCATGGGACCTGTTTCTTTGGGCCTGGCTTACTTCACTTAATATAATTTTTTCCAAGTCTTTCCATTTCCTAACAAATGGAGCAATGTCATTCTTTCTGATAGAGGCATAGAATTCCATTGCATACACACACTTTTGATATTGAAGGTTTCTTCTGTGTCAGGAACCAGGCTAAATGTCTTACAAATCTTATGCTCTGTGGTACTCAGTATTAACGATGCCCTTAAAATTCCATTTTGCACAAGAGGGAAATGAGAGAGATTTTGAAATTTCCAATAGGTCAAATAATGGAAATGAATGGAACAAGAACATGAGCCAAATTTCCCCCACCATCCACTACACTTTACCAGCATTAATTCACTGTGGTTCTTGGTGAAGTGTTTGGTCAACACATGAGACTTCTCTCCCACAGAAAACCCATTCCTGGTGAGCCATATAGCTCAACTTCCTGGCTATCAGCATACACACCATCAGAAAGCCATTCTCAGACCCAATGTTTGCAATTACATAGATAGTGTCCCACTACAGACAAATGCTTCTTAATGATATTCATCCAGCACCCCCCAATTTCTCTAATTAACTCTATGATTTCAATGTCTCTGTGTTGACTAATGAACTAAAGCCTTTGCAATTAGACCTAGTGCTTTTGAAATTGACATTTAGCATAAGTGGATTATAAAGTAAAGCCAATAAATATGTTGTGGAAAGGCACATGTTTTAATTTGAACAAGCAGCTCTCCTTTTTGATACTCAACCGACATATGTAGGGAAGTATCTCATTAGAACTGGGTTCCTATTAGACAAAATCTAAACATGTGTCAGAGTCTTAAGATTTATGTGAGGAGTGTGACTCAGCTTTCCTTTGGGAAATCTTTTTCTTTCTGATCACATCTGTAGTTCTCACAGGTGTGGGAGTCTAGCTAGATCTTGACAGCCGAAGATTCTTTAATTGTATGCAGGAAGCATACACTTATTGAGGATCTGCTATTGGTTAGCTACTGGGAGGACACCGAGGTAAATAAGTTGTCACTGGCCTTAGAAAGCCTCCATGTTGTGTGCTAGATATGGGCCACCAGATGAAATGTTATCAGTTAATTAACAAACAGTTCTTGGAAACAACTGCAACTCGTGATTTGAACACTGCATTGAAATCGATTTTTAGATGCTTTTGAAGTCTTCAAAGCTCTTAAAATTAGTGGATAATTGAAACCATCATTTTATTAACTCCATTTTGCTTTTTTCCTTAACTGACAGTTAGCACAAGAACCATATCTGTTACCTGAATTTAGCAGGCCCCCATATCATTCATAGATAACTACATGCTAACCCTCCCCTCCAGAGTCATCTGTTTCTCTAGAACCTAGATTATAATAAGTGACCTCCCATTTTATTATATGTATTAAACATAATTTGTCTAGCATGTTGAATCCTTCCTGGAACAAAACTGTGTAAGTAATTTAGAGAGGCACTGAAGGAAAAAAATGGTATTAGGACCTAGATTACAGTTGATTCAGGAGTACCGTGATTACGACAGACTCTAAACTCACAAGACTGAAGCAAAAATTTTTTTAAAAAGTCCTTAGCTTATGGCACTGCAAAGTGTATTTGGTTCACGTGCAGCTGGATACAAGTGCTGCAGTGATTTCTTCGTGAAGCTCTCACTTCATCTTTTGGCTTGCTTCCCTGGTCTCCCCTCACAGTCAGGTCTATTAGATGCTCTTAGTTTGCATCTTCCTGCCTGCTTATGGTCTTATGGAACAGAAGTGCCTTAAAATCATTTCTGAAAGAAAAATCATAAATATGGGGCTTGGCTCTCATTGGACCAATCACACCCATTTCTGAATCTATAACTATATAAGGAGATGAGATGTCCCAGTCCACCAGACAGAGTTCAGGCACTCGTTCCTGAAACTTGGGTGTGGCGATCCCATACAAAGCACTTCAATAATGAGAAGAGAGGTGGTTCCCCAAGAAAAACTATGGTGCTGCCATAGGAGCAAGAATGGAGGGTGGAGGAATAAGCAACTGTGTCTGGCTCCATCCAGCCTGTCGATGAATGGGGTGTGAGTAAAAAGAGATGTGGTCAGAAACAGCAGGCGTCCATGAGTAAAGGATGAGGGGAAAATCGCCTCTGTAGAGGCTGCTTCTTCTCAGGCAGGCATGATTCCCAAGGGCTAGAGGGTTCAGAGCTATGGCCTTTCTATTATCAGAGCTCAGGTAGTCACTAAGAAAGACCATAATTATCTTAGACTATATTGTTATGCTGGGTACCCATAATTCATGCCTATAATTCTAGCAACTCAGGAAGCTGAGATCTGAGGATAACAGTTTGAAAGCATCCTGGGCAGGAAAGTCTGTGAGACTGTTATCTCAAATAACTACCAAAAAAGAGCTGTAACTCAAGTGGTAGAGCACTAGCCTTGAGTAAAAGAAGCTCAGGGACAGCACCAAAACCCTGAGTTCAAAACCTAGGACTGGGGGGGAGGTAATAAAAAATGAAAGGCATCCTATATTCATGAATTCCGAGACCAGATTGTAGAGATCTTGGCGCAACCCAAGTGAAAACTGCAGATATAATGCAAAATCCCAGGGATTTTTTGCCCTCAAAATAGAGATCCATCCTGAAATTAAAAGACCTTGAAATAGCAAATAACTCTTGAAAAGGACAAATATGAGAAGTTTCATAGTTTCTGATTTCAAAACTGAATACCAGCATGGCAGCAGCCTAAAGACAGACAGATAAACAAAAGATCTAGAATGGACAGCCCAGGACTAAACACTCTTATATAAATGCAGTAAACTATTAAATGGGGGAAAGGGCAATCTTTTAACAAGTTGGAAAAACCAGATGTCCTCATGCAAAGAAATGAAGCTGGACCTTTATCTACCATCACTGACCTCCCACATCCTCCACCCATTTAGTGGGAGAGCCAGGGGGCAGATGGGTCATGGCTGTGATGCATGGGGGGGGAACACACACAGAGAGTAGAGTGGCAAGGGGATTTGCCTCCGAACCTGGCAAAAATGTCTCACCAAGCATCGTGACTCCCCCTGTGTGTGTTCTTCAAAGCTTGGTTCATAAATTGACCCAGAAAACCTCATTTTCCAGCAACTAAAAAATGAAATTAGACAAAATGTGAGAAGAAGAAAATCCCGGAATTCTACTCATTCATCAGAAAGAATGATATTGTACCCTTTGTAAGGAAATGGAAAGAGTTGAAAAAAAAAACTATATTAAGTGAAGTAAACCAGAGCCAAAGAAACATAGAGTACGTGGTTTCCCTCATTTGAGGTAACTAGAATGTGTCTATAAATCTACAAGTAAACACAATGTATGATTAAAATATATACATACACACACACTGGGAAATGATACATTATATGTCTCTAGGTATTCACACATGGAGGACAAAGAAGGATATGCATAGGAGTGGTTGACAAAAAGCTCAATCGCCATGGGCATATGATCACATAAAATAATATTTATGAAACGAACTCCGAGGAAAGGAAACAAGAGACATTTTTAGTGGCCATTGTTGTTGTTTTTGTTTTCTTTTCCTTTTGCCTTGTTTGTTAGCTTGTTTATATTTGGGATGGTAAGGGAGCCAGAGAAAAAGTGAAACAAAGGTAAATGAAGACCACAGTGGTGCTCACTAGACACTATGTGGAAAGTGAACTGTATATCTTGTGGGTGGAGACGAGGGGGAAGACTGGGAGAGAGTGAGGGAAGGGGAGACATGGTTCAAAAAGAATTGTACTCATTACCTGATTCATGTAACTGTAACCCCTCTGTATATCAACTCTATAATAGCAATAAGTAAATACAGACAGACAGAGAAGAAAACCGTGCCATTCATAGGCCATTTTCTATGTTCTATAGTGAATTAATAGATCACAAGGAATGTGATGACTCTCTGGAGAGCCTATTTTAGCTTCCTGAGCTCCTCTCATAAATCAGGTTTAGATGCCCTTCTGACGAGCCTTGTGACAGTTCCATGCACTCTACATGTATGCAGTATGCTATATATCTATCAGCTTTCAAAATAAAACCCCAGGAAGTTGGACTCAAGTACTGTCTGTCTGAGCCTTCCTTAAATTTCACAGTTCTAGACTCATTTCTATTTCCAGAATCCAAAAAGTCCTTTGAGACCATTTTAGTACCTTCTTTAGGGCGGCTGAGTTAACCACTCTTAATTGATTAAACCACCTCCTCTCCCACCAACCCCCTCTGCCTCTTTTTTCTTGTGCTGGTCCTGGGACTTGAACTCAGAGCCTTAGTTGCTTTCCCTGAACATTTTTGTTCAAGGATAGCACTCTACTGCTTGAGCTAGACAGCTCCACTTTTGGCTTTTTGGTGGTTAATTGGAGATAAGAGTCTCATAGATTTTCCTGTCTGGGCTGGTTTCAAACTAGGATCCTCAGATCTCAGCCTCCTGAGTAGCTAGGATTACAGGCGTGAGCCACGGACACCTGGATTGGTTAACCCTTGTGATCTTAGCACAATGCATGCCACGCAGTGAGCAATCAGGAAGTGATGATGAATTATTGTCGTCTTTTCCTGGTTGTTTTTATTCCTACCCAGAACTTCTGCTTAAACTCTGCCGTCCCCCACCCCACACCTCCATGGAGCAGACCCTCATCTTAATCTTTCCTCCTATTTCCATTCAGATTGTGAGCATTTCCAATGCCTCCCAAGCTGTCACCTTGGTATACGTTGTGGGCAATCAGAGCACATTCCTCAATGGCACCGTGGCCAGCAGCCTCCTCAGCCAGCTCTCTGCTGAGCTGGTTGGATTCTACCTCACCTACCCGCCTCTTACTATTGCTGAACGTGAGTACAACCATATCATGTGCAAAGGCCCTGTGGTTTCCCCTGGAGGCTTACTCCAGAGCAGACCTCCACTGTGCCAGGCCACATGCTACGTCTATTATCATAAAGACCACTTGAAAAAAATGTAATAGATGGACATAGAATTGATAATATTGTACAGTGAAAGAGAGCACTTACAAGTTACATGTCTCTTCTCTTATTTGGGTCTTACAGTCATCCTAGAAAGTGGCTACAAAGTTAGAAAACTGAATCCCAGAGAGATCTCTCAAAATACCCAGTCAGCTACAGCTAGTAGGCTATGGAGCCTGGGATGTGCCTCTGGGCAGCCTGCTTTCTGAGCTCACGATACAGATACAGAAGTGTTGGGAACCTTCCAGCACATCTGTCCTTGGAGCCATCTAGATTGCCATGATTTCTCCCACTTTGGCCATCCACAAATGCTCCCGGAGCTTCGGCTCCTGTCTTGGCTGCAGTGTTCGTAGTGCAAGCCATTTGCAGTCAGCATCATGACTTCACTTGCTGAAGTCCCCATCGGCCCCATCTCCCCACCTGCCTCCATTATATAATCCTCATTGCCTGCAGGAGGCGTAGACTCCCAAGGCCGGGCAGCCTCCATTCTGTCCCCAGACACCTAGCCAATTGCTGAGGGAAGGAAAGGTTTGTATTCCTAACTAGTCATTCTTACATTTCACAAGGTCACTCCCATAGTTTCCCTTTTAAGCACATATTAGCAACATTGTTACATAATTTCTTTCTGTGGTTGTTTTGGTGCTATACATAAATGAGATAATGTGTGAATGATGGGGAGCGCATCACTGAGAACATTTTCAAATGTCTGTTTATTGGCAAGCTTTTGCAAATTTCCAGGTAGTAAAGAACCAATGACAGAGTTTTCCAAAAAAGATGGCATCCCTAAAGATTATGTCACATGGTAGCATATGCAGAATTAACCTCCTCGAATCATTTTGATACTCATAATTCCCATTGTTTTGATGTTCTCTTATCTTTTTATTGATTCCAAAGCTAGAGCCTTGCATTTGTCTGGCTTGCTTGTTTGCTTAGGGACGGTGCTCTACATTTGAGCCATACTTCCAGCCCTGCTTTTTGTTAGTTAATTGGAAATGGGGTCTCGTGGACTTTGCTACTCAGGCTGGCTTCAGATTGAGCTCTTGCAGGTTTCAGCCTCTGTGTAGCTAGGATTACAGGCGTGAGTCATAGGCCACAGGCACAATTAAGATTTCTTGAGTACATAGTACATACCCAACACTGCACTGAGTTCTTTTATGTGTGTGTGCCAATACTGGGACTTGAACTCACATCCTGGATGCTGCTGCCCTTAGCTTTTAGAGCTAGCAATCTACCACTTGAGCCACACCTCTTCTTCTGGCTTTTTTGGAGTTAATTGGAGAAAATAATCTCATAAGCCTTCCTGCCTGAGGTGGTTTTGAACTGCTATCCTCAGATATCCGCTGCCTAAGTAGTTATGATTCTAGACATGAGCCACTTTAGAACTTGGCAGCACCAAGTTCTTCTATGAATGAACTGTTAATAGGAGAGGAAGTGACTGTCCTCCTTGTGAAGCATTCTGAGCAATTTGAGACCTTTTGCGGAAAGCCTTTGGCTACGGCACTTACCCTCTTAACATTGGAAAAACTCACAGAAGAGGAAATCGTGCTAAATAACCTTAGTGATGGTCAGAGGATTTTTTTCAGACCAACTACATCTGTAGGTCTTGATAATGAGGGTGTTCCACTTAAGGTTTGGATGGAAACTGTGAAAAACAGAAACTCACAAACCCTAAAACCTCTGCACTTGAAAGTTAACCCTTCCCTGAGATTTTGGTTCTCTGAGCAGCTAGATAGTTTGGCCTGTGTGTCAGAGTTCCCACGGATGGCAAATCAGAGTTTAGCTACTTGTTAACTTCTCTGTGTTTACTTTCTAACACATATATATCAAACCTATCAAAGAAATCTGATGCGTTTCTTGTTTGTTTTAGCCCTGGAATACCCCAACCTTGATATATCAGAAACTACCAGAGACTACTGGGTAATCACAGGTAAGCCCTTCCTTCGTTGTTTCCTTCTTCATGGATGCAGGTTCATTTGTCTAAAACCATTCAGCAAGACACTAGCACCTTTCTTCACTCTGGTCCTTATAAATCAATGAGTTTCTTCCACAAGACTGCAAATAGAAGCTAAGGAAAGATCTCACACTGAAGATGATTAGTAGACAAGGCGATTTGAAACTGCTACCTTCAGTCTTCCCATCAGGCAGTGTCCTTTTGGCAAAAGTGGGCCTATTGGTAGTATGAGACTGTGGGTCTAGGGTACATCAGTGTGAATGGCTATCTATGCACAGATGGTAGGCTTTCTATCCAGCCCAAATTAAAGCTAGAGGACTGACAGACTTCCCCTGCTCCCAACATGACTCCCACTCCAAACCAACCCAGGTGGGCCATGATGGGGAAGGTGAGTGGAAGTATTTGGTGTTCTGGTTGTGGTTTCTTTTCTTTTCCCCTTCAACGTTTAACAAAAACAGCAAGGATGTTACTTTTTTTTTAAACAGAAGCTAGGCCATGGCTCTGAAAATGAGAGAAACAAAGATGGAGAGTAAAGGGAGAGGACCGATATTTGAGGGAGGAAAAGTGAACCAACAGCAGAGCCATCCAAGGGTAGAATGGTGAGAAGGGACCAATGGGGAGGAGATCTCAAGGGTGAAGGCATTAGTGGAGAGAGGGTATGAATTTGCTGGAGCTGCTATAACAAAGCCCCACACCGTGGAGAGCTGAAACAACCAAAGGCTGTGATTCCACATTTCTGGAAACTGGGATCAGGAGACTGACAGGATTGCTCTGTGCTGAGGCCCTTCTTGGTTGTGTTTCTTCATCTCCGCACGGTGTCTTCCCTCTGTGCCTGTGTCCTAACTTCTTTTTCTTAGGACACCTTTAAGGCATAGTAGCTGAAGGCCTATCCCCCTGACCTCATTTTAACTTCATTACTTCTTTAGAGACCCTCTCTTCAAATAGAATCACATTCTGAGTGACTGGGCTTTAAGGCTTCAACATGTGAATCGAAGGGACACAGTCTAGCCCTGTAAAGGAGGTAGGGTTAATAGGGCCTGGAGGTTGGGAGAAGGCTGGTCTCAAACTTCCCTTCCCTGCCCCATCCTCACCCCACTTGCTGTCCCTAAGAGGTGCTAGATGGGCTACTGCCTAAAATCCCAACCAAGGAGGGCGCTCCCCTGCTGAAGGAAGCCCACTCGAGACCTCCCTTAGGCTACAGGTAGTTGCTTCTCTTCCCCTGCAGGGCCTTGACAGGCAGAGATCATTTTACCTGCTAAGAAGGCAAAACAAGAAACATGTTTAAAAAAAATTTAGAAAACAACCTACCAGGGTTTATACTCAAGAGAGACAGTGCTAACCCAGCAAGATGTTTTCAGAGCCAGCGACTTATGTAACATTACAAAATCATTCTCCCTGCGGAAGGAATGACACCTCTCACTTGCAGATATTCTCCCTTCTCTGTACTTTAAAGTTTGCATTCAGTGATCACACATCCACTCTGAAATTTAGGCTGTCCATGTCATCCTCTCTGGGTCTCCCCCGTGGCTTGCTCTGTCTCAATTTTAGGGACATGGCTCTAAGAAAGAGCTCCATACATGGTTCTGTTCTCAGACGCTCCTGGGATTTAGCCCTGCACTTATGTAACCGTCTTTTCTTTATTGCTGTGCTTGTAGTGTGATCATCCCTCTGTCTGGGGCTGGCTGGATCCATTGTTGGATCCCATGGCTTGGGAGGGCCAGCAACCAGGATTCAGGCTTTTGCCTTCCCTTAAATACATGATCACTTTCCAACTGGCCAGTCAATAGCAACCATCCCATCATTGACAGATGGAGAGGGAGATCGGGAGCTGAGAAATAAGAGCTTTGCTCAACATGGGCTCCCAGACCATTTTCACAGCCTGTCCTGCTCGTTGCTGACAGCAACAAGAATTTGGAACACTGCTTCCCTCTCTGTGGTTTATCTTTAAAACCCTGATATGTTTGTATCTCCTTTTCTAACTACACACACACACACACACACACACACACACGCACGCACGCACGCACGCACGCACGCGTGTCTCTCTCTATACATAAGTATATATAAGTCTATATAAGTTTATATGTCATATAATATTATATATATATGTCCCTCTCTGTATATAAAGTATATATAAATAAGTTTATATAAGTTTATGTAAATCTATAGAATATATATTATATGCAATATATTATTATATATTATATATATTATGCACTAGACACTTCTCCTTGCCAAGAGAGTAGGTCCCTCTTGGATGGAAAATCACTGCCTTAGGGTGAACCCTAAGAGAGGGCTCTGCTGGGGACTTCCCTGCCCTCTGGGCATGCTGAGGTCAGGCGTGGGAACATGAGGCAAGATAGAACTATCCAGACTCAGTGTTGCCACGCAGCAGAGGTAAGAGCCTGATTTAGGCCTGTTCATCTGTCTTGGTTTCGCTCACCAGAGACAAGGTAGCTCAGGCCCAGTAATGGATGTGATTGTTGTTTCAGCTCTGCTGTTAACTCGCCTCGGGTGTGCTTCAGTCAGCCACGCCAGCACGCCGGCCCTGGGCTCCACACCATCACCTGTAGAATGTGGGGGAGCCATTTGCTGAGCATGAAGAGTCTTTCAGCTTGAGAATGTGGCATTCAACCACAAATAAAACAGTTTAGCTTGATAAAACAGTTTAGACTGACCCATGCCCCTCTGTGAGAGTGCTAGAGCCCCATGAGGTTAGAAACAAAGAAGAAGAGAAAGGAGATAGAACAGTCTGGAGACCTCTGGAGGAAGCGCTTGAGCACGGCTGGGGACTTGCTTGCCTCCTCCAGGCTGAATCAGTGGTAGGCAAGAGCAGGAGCGGGTAGAGGATTGTGTTGGGTATGCCAAAGAGCCCAGCCTTTTGTATCACTGTGAGAGGTAGGGGTCCACACCTTCTCCACTGCTTTCTGGGTGGGTAGAGAGGGTCAGGTGAACAAGGTCTGCCACATTCGTGAGAGAGGAGCTGCACAGATTCATACTCTCCATGTTTTTTTCTCCACTAGCAAAGAAGGGGGCACATTATGACAGCAATACTATACCATTTACTGATGTTCAACCCAGTACCCATAGCATTGTTCTAGAAGCATTTTATGTGTGTGTGTGTGTGTGTGTGTGTGTGTGTGTGTGTGTGTTCTGGTCCAGGGGCTTGAACTCAGGGCCTAGATGCTGTCCTTGAGCTTTTTGTCAAAGGCTAGCACTTTACCATATGAAGCTCAACTCCACTTCTGACTATTCTTTCTTTCTTTCTTTCTTTCTTTCTTTCTTTCTTTCTTTCTTTCTTTCTTTCTTTCTTTCTTTCTTTCTTTCTTTTGTAGTTAATTAAAAAGTCTCATAGACAGGCACTGGTGGCTCATGCCTGTCATCCTAGCTATTTAGGAAGCTGAGATTTGAGCTCAGATCATGGTTCAAAGACAGCCCAGCGCTGGGAAGGTGGCTTAGTGGTAGAGTACTTCCCTTGCATACATGAGGCCCTGGGGTTGATTCCTTATACCACATAAGCAGAAAAAGCTGGAAGTGGCGCTGTGACTCAACTGGTAGAGCACTAGCCTTGAGCTGAAGAGCTGAGGGACAGCACCCAGGCCCAGAGTTCAGGCCCCACAACAGACCACAAAAAAAAAAAGACTAGGCAGGAAATCCCCTGGGATTCTTTTTCTTTTTTTTTTCTGCCAGTCCTGGGGCTTGAACTCAGAGCCTGGGCACACTGCCACTTGAGCCACAGTGCCACTTTCAGCTTTTTCTGCATATGTGGTACTAAGGACTGGAGCCCAGGGTTTCACGAATGAGCACTCTACCACTAAGCCGCATCCCCAGCCTTGAGATTCATCTCTCACCACCAGAAAACCAGAAGTTGTTTCATAAGTAGCAGTCCCAGTATTGCGCCGTCCTGGGGGCATTTTCATCACCTCGGGGTTTGGACTGTTGCTTTTGATGTCTGCCTTTGACCATGACTGTGAGCCCCAGTAAATAATTCAGGAAGAAGCTGTGCCCTTGCCCATCCTGGCTCTCCTCTTACTCTCATCCACGTGTCAAGCAAGACCCATATAGAAGTAATTCTTCACAGTAATTTTCCTGGGGAGGGGTGTCTTTGAGCTAGCAAGGTCACAGACGTCCCTGTCAGGATAGCGATCTGGGAGTCTTCTCTGGGACCTCACTCCATATGAATGCACAACAGCGTCTCTTCTTTGATTGTAGAGATTCAGATCACAGATGAGCTGTGAGTGTCTCACTGGGGTCCTAGGAGAATATCTGCTTTATACCCTCCGAGGGGGTCTGGTTTGGCATTTATGCTTTCAAAGAAGTAATTTTGGAGATCCAGCTGTGGGTTTTATTTCTCTCTTGATGTGTCTCAACATTATTCTTCTGTGTCTTGTCTTTGGCTGCTCCGTTTGGTCCTATGTGGAATGCAATCGTTAGTGTTGGCTCTGGGCAGCTCCCTGCTGAACAAGATATCATAAAGACCAACACCCTTTATCTCCAAGCTATTTCCAGAGTCTAGTAGATAAGTAGTAGTAATGATCCTGGGCTGGGATGTGGTAGAATAAACTATTAAATGAAGACTTTTATTATATTCCCACTTACAATTTTTATTTCTTAAAAAAAGTCATCATTTTTAGCACTTCAAGTTTTGGAGTGAATATGTTTGAGGACAGAGTTTGCCCATTGGGGTAAAATGTGCTTTGCTGGGGAGACAGGGCAAACACAGGACTTTGGGGGGTAGATTAGAAAAGACAATTGTCCTACAGAAGGCAACAATACTAGAACAGTTGTGGAGCGCTAGTGCTCCTTACAGCCTTCCGCTGTACTGGCCATGGCCTGGAGTCCATCATGAGGACCACAACTGCTGTGTCCTAATCCTCCAGGTGTTGATTGCAGAAGCAAGGAGGAATCCCCTCTTACCTACTATGTCCCGGGCACTGTGCTAAACTGCTGTATACATCCTGTCTCCTTCAAGCTGTAGAGCCATAAGAAGGATGTTCTCTGGGTTGTACACTTTCCTGTTAGCCCTCGTACAGAGAAGCACGGAGACCCAGGTACCACAATGGCTTGCTGAAGGCCCCACAACCAGCACAAACCAGAACAGAGAGAGATCCTGCTCTCCCTGTTAGGTTGTCCTGTTCTCCGATGGGAGACAGTCTGAGGGGCCATGGGAAGCTGTAGCAGTGGGCACCACAGGGTCAGGTCCTCAGGACCCTGAGCAGGAGGGTTTGCCTGGATATATGAGATTGCCTTGCAAGATAGAACGGAGACTCCTAGCAAACCTCTTGAGAATAAAACATAAAATGAAGGCAGACCTGAGCCAAGGAGTTCTGAGTGGGAAACTGCTCAACACTCAGTCCGCTGTGCCTGTAGCTCTGCTGTGCATGCTCCCATGTGAACTCTGTATTGCATATAATCTGTGTGTGTGTGTGTGTGTGTGTGTGTGTGTGTGTGTGTGTGTGTGTGTGTGTGTGTGGTGCCAGTACTGGGGCTTTAGTTCAGAGCCGGGTGGTATCCCTGAGATGTGTTACTTTGGGCTGGCACTCTACCCCTTGAGCCACAGCTTTACTCCCACCTTTTTGGTGTTCATTGGAAATCAGAGTCTCACAGATTTGTCTGCCCCCGAGCTCTCTTTATACTGTAGTCCTCAGATCTCAGCCTCTCAAGTAGCTAAGATTCCAGGCAGGAGCCACTGGTACCTGGCTGCACAGCATCTTAAATAAAGCTTGGGTTGTATACCACAGTGCTAGAGATTTTGCACCTCAAAGAGCGAAGAGCCCAGGCTCTGGAAATTATACAGGCTTCAGATTGCATCCCAACTTCTCCAGTCACTAGCTACGTGGCTTGAGGTCACTCATTTTGTTTTTCTTTTTGATATCTGTAACACGTGGATAGTGACCTGCACTGTCACGGAGGCAAAGCGAGGTAAAGATGGCCGGTCCAAGGAGAGGTAGGGCATAGTGCCCTTGCTGTGCGAGGCAGGAGGTGGCTGTGGTCACTGAGTCAGCAGTATGGGCTCTGAGCCTCCCTTCTGCCTTCTGCATCTCCGCAGTGCTGCAGGGCGTAGACAATTCACTGGTGGGCCTGCACAACCAGAGCTTCGCCCGGGTCATGGAGCAGCGCCTTGCCCAGCTCTTCATGATGTCTCAGCAACAGAGCCGGCGGTTTAAACGGGCCACCACCCTGGGAAGCTACACCGTGCAGGTAGGTGTGCAGTACCACTGGGGTTGCCAAGTGACTGTGGGGAGACGTGCCTCCTGGGATTACACAGATACTGTGTGTAGAGGGCCATCCATGCATCGGAGGCATTTCCTTAGCACTGTTCTGGGGTTAACGGTTGTCCCCTCCACTGTCCACAACTAGATGATTAGCGGAGGCCAGATTCCGCCCATATGCAGATCAGAAGTGAAAGGTTCTGTCGTTGGCATTTAGTCAACTTAAAAATACAACCCAACCCACCTGTCAGTGGCTCACACCTGTCAGCTGTTCAGGAGGGTGAGTTGAAGAGTACAGTTCAAAGCCAGCCTAGGAAGGAAAGTTCATGAGATTCTTATCTCCAATGAATCAACAAAAAGCCAGAAACAGAGTTGTGGCGCAAATGGTAAAACACTAGCCTTGGGCAAAAAAGCTAAGGGACAGCATATAGGCCCTGAGTTCAAACTCTCATTCACACACACACACACACACACACACACACACAAATTGATCCCTCCAAAATTTATGGCGGACCCAGGGCCAAGTAGTGATTTAGGTGGGAGATGTGGAAGGCACTGATGTTGATCTGTCCATACCTCTTACCATTTCTAAGCATGGCAACTGGCTTTCAACAGCCAGCCTTGAATCTTCCCTACTAAACTGCCCTCGGAATCCTGGAACCCACTTTGCCCCTGCTATGCTACTAGAGTGTGTGGAAATTAACTCGTGGTGGGTGTACAAATACTCCAGCTGTCTTACTTCTTAGCTAGCAGAATTCTGATCATTTCTAGAGATATGGGATTAGCTTTTTCATCACTCAGTTTACTAATTTACCCCCTTACTGGCTCTTTTCTTACCTGTGTATCACCCTTCTACCTCCTGTCAGTTTTTCATCCCTCTCAAAGAAACTGTAAACACTTACTTCTTCTCTGGATTTCCTTCTGTGGGATCCCCTCAAAGTAGTAGCCCTCTGTGGGGATGAAAGGGGGATTTCACGCTGCCCTTGATCCTGCAAAAGTGTCTAGTATATTCTCGGCAACTCACACATCTTGATTAGCATGAACTTCATGAATAAGAACCTGTCTCTCACATTGCTACACTAGCTAACAAAGCTCTGCTGAGTGTATAGCAAATTGCAGAGACCATCCTGGCCTCTGGAGGGCTGGCTGGAGCACTAGTTCAAAGTAGCCGGCCGCGCTGGGCATGGGAACGCTTCACCACTAACTGACCACATCTTTTGCAAATGCATAGTGTGGCACTTCCTCGGAGGAGACATCTTTTCATTTCCTGGAGGAAATCACAAACATTCACACAGTCTGCTGCAGATCACAGCCCCAGACAATCTGGAGAGCGACGCCCATCTTCTCTCCCTGCACTGAGTCAGTCTGGCCAATGATGGACCCTCCAGGTCTCCTGATTCACAAGTCAGGCCCTTGTCCTATTTGCTGTTGCTTTGGTTCTGAAAGTCTTTGTGGTCTGTGAAGACCTCGTCAGGAGGCAAAGGGCTGGTTAATTTTCTTTGCCAGGGTTATGACTTTGCCTTTGTGGGTGTGTTCCATCTGCGTCCTATAATTCACACTTCTCCAAATGACAGAAAGGAAGTCACTGGTGCTGAGATGGCTCTGAACAGCTGAAAGGAGAAGAAGGACGTCTTACAATCCTGATGTTACTTATAAAGCTGGAAAATGGGCTGGGAAGGTGGCTCAGTGGTAGAGTGCTCGACTTGCATGCATGAGACCCTGGGTTAGATTCCCCAGCAAAAATAAAAATAAAAATAAAAATTAATAAAAGCTGGAAAACTTAGGGTGGCTGGGAAGGTGGCTCAGTGGTAGAGTGCTTGCCTTGTATGCATGAGGTCCTGGGTTCGATTCCCCAGCACCACATGAGCAAAAAGAAAAAAAGCCGGAAGCGGCGCTGTGGCTCAAGTGGTAGAGCGCTAGCCTTGAGCTGAAGAGCAGAGGGACAGTGCCCAGGCCCAGAGTTCAGGCCCCATGACCGGACCCCCCCAAAAAAAAACTTAACATACTTGATATATCTAAAAGGGACCCGAGATGTTGCTCCCATTTTTTCCCTAAGTATTCTGTGCACCTGGCTCTATAGCTACCTAAAAACTCACAGAGAACCAAGTGATCTTGTTTCACTTTGCTTTATTTTCTTTCTATAAATACAGAAAGAGGCCACAGAGACATCTTGGTAAAAAAAAAAAAAATACCATTAGCCAGATGTGGTACACAGCTGTAAAAAGAATTACTGTTAAATTGAAACTGAGTAATGTTAGTAGATAAAGATAACTTTCCTTCATGGAGAGTTACATATCTAGAATTTAAAGGTATTTGCCTGTTTGATATATTTGAAAAATTGAGTCCCAAGAAGAAAGCATATGACAAGTTTTGGGTTTTTTTTCCCTGGGTTGTTTATTTGTTTTTGTGTTGGTGCTAGGTTTTGAACTCAGGACCTCATGCTTTCACTTAGCTTTTTTTCAGCTCCAGACTGGTATTCTACCACTTGAACAATACTTCCAGTTCTGGCCTTTTGCTAGTTAATTAAAGATAAGGGTCTCACAGACTTCCTTGCCCAGGCTGGCCTCCAGCTGGGATCCTCAGATCTCATCCTCCTGAGTAGCTAGAATTACAGGTGAGAGCCACCCACATCTGGCTAAAAAGAAAAGTGTGGGAGACGAGGAAGACCAGAACAAATACTCCAAAATGATGATAGTAATTAGCTGGATATGGAGGGACTCTTAATCATTTTTCTCTTCCTTTGTTCCTTGATGCTTAGCTATTGTTTTTTATTTTCCTATATTGAGTATATATATATATATATATATATATATATAATAGTATATATATATATATATAAATAATAGTAAAATAATTAGAAAAAGAGCTTTGGGTTTCCAAGTACTGCTTTTGTCAGAGATCTTTTCCAATGCAGATGTAAGGTTATTTTTTTTCTTTCTGGCAATTGCTGATCTTGAAAGTTAAAATCTTATTGGAGAAAAACTTAGCATGCCCTGAATTCCTGGGGAGGCCTATTTTCAAATGAGGCCAGAGCCGAGTGGAGGCTGGGAAATACTCTTCTTGCATATTTTCATTTCCAACTTCCAACTGTGCTTTCCAGATGTTCATATTTTTCAAAACATTTTTTTAAAAATCTCCCAGTCTCTCACGCTAGCCATAGCAGGCTTCCTGAGACACTGGCTGTAGGGAGGAACAGAAAGGTTGCTGTCTAGCTTATTTGCTGTGCATCCATGATAGGCCACAGCAGGCCTCAATAGAAAGCCTGCTGATGGCCCCTGGGCCTAGAGGGTTGATTCAAGATGTCCTACAAACATCTAGCCTCTCTTTTTCTGAAAGATGGTAAAGATGCAGCGGGTACCAGGACCGAAGGACCCAGCGGAGCTGACCTACTACACCCTGTACAACGGGAAGCCACTGCTGGGCACCGCGGCCGCCAAGATCCTGAGCACCATTGACTCCCAGCGGATGGCGCTGACGTTGCATCACGTGGTCCTTCTGCAAGCTGACCGTAAGGGGATGTTTCTCCATTCAGTCATTTGTCATGCTACAAATGTTTCCTGCAAGTGTCAAAGTGATTTTTCCAAACTCATATGAATGGTCCCAGAACTAAATGTGTTTCTGTTCCGGAAGGTTCTTAGAGCCATCAGTTGTGTTTTCTGTGCTGTTGGAAGCAATAGGCTTTGGGTAAGACGTATGTTTTATGGTATTCAGATGATGACCCTCTCCTCCCCCCCCTCCCCCAAGTGCTGCTCACTCTTCCCTCCCGGTGTAATTTAGTGAGCAGCTCTGAAAAGTCACTGCAACTGAGATGGTATTTGAATGACGGGAACATTGATAATTTGATTTGAGGAACCTTTAGAGCCCTGTGTGAATTGTGCTTGGTGCTGGGGGATTTACAAAAGTAGGAGAGGCCAGGTGCTGGTGCCTCATGCCTGAAATCCTAGCTACTCAGGAGGCTGAGATGTGAGAATTGTGATTCAAAGCCAGCCTGGGGCAGAAAAGTCCGTGTGACACTTATCTCCACCAGAAGTGGAGCTGTGGCTCAAAGTAGTAGGGCTCTAAGCTTGAGCAGAAATGCTCAGGGACTACCACACCCAGGCCCTGAGTTCAAGCCCTATACCAACCACCCTCCCCCATCCTCCCCCCCAAAAAAAGTGGGCGTTAATTCAGGAGTCAAGGAACACAGGGATCATCAGAACAAAACTGCTCTGAAAGTGCTTCTGGAATGAAGGAACAGAGGCAACAGAGTAAAGGTGTTAAAAGAATACTGGCCTCCCTGTGTGCCTCCCAGTGGCTGCTACTGATCTCTATTTCCTCACCCTCCCTGCTCGATGGAGTTATGTTTGTTTAGCTCCAAATCACAGGAATGGCCATGAAAAGCTGTTTGCTTTAGAGAAATGCCTTTTTCTAAAAGTGTCCAACCTCCTGGGACTCCATTTCTTCCCCATCAAATTTGGATGAGAATAGTGTGTAGGCAAAGGACTCATCACCAAGTAGGTGCTCAAAGCCTGGTGTCTTTTCCTCTCTGCCCTCTACGCAACCTCTTTCCATGGAAATAACCATTCGTTCTTTGTTACCCTGGACATGACTTTGTAAATTCAGATCAGATGGAAGTGAACTTATTGGGTTTTGATGACTTCAGTTGACCTAACTTGAAGATCGCTTTGACCGTTAAGTGATTTTATTAACATGCATAAGATGAATCTATTCTGCAACTCCTCCCGGCCTCCCCCAATTAAATAGAGGTGAGGGAATTTTACATGCTACACCAAAAAGAGAGTCACCTAAACAGTGAAACTTAGGCAAATCAGAGCACCTGCATATTTCATTCTTGCTAATTGTGTGTGTATATATTTAGGGTGTTGATTAATACACTATGCATGTTTTTGCTCCATCTAGATAGACTAGCCTAGGACGACCCCCCCCGCCCCACACACACCTAAAAAAAAGAGGCAGATGGATTTTTTTAAATAGGAGTTCTTTTTAAGCTTTAAAAAATGTTCATGGCATATGAGGTTCCCATGTAAATACTGAGTCACTAAAAGCAGTAGCAATTAAGTGTGTAATGTCAACAGAGACCCATTATCTAATGAGCTGTTTTCAGGAGTTAATAATGTGATTCATCACTGATTGATAAAAGAAACTGTGAGATGTTCTTTTGTAACTAATAGGATTCGGAGCCCAAGGGCAGCCAGATGACAGGGACATCTTGGCTAACTGAGATGAGCTGCGGTCAGAGAAGAAGTCCACTGTCTCTTCAGGCAAACCTTCACCTTATGGCGCTTACTAGGGATGATCTTTATAATCCAGATCTAAACCCTTGGCATAGAGGGTCTAGGGGCCTGCAGAGTTCAGCAGGATCAGGAGGATTAAGTCATGTCAGCCATTCTTACAAGAGACTGAGATAGACCGACAGACAGACAGACAGACAGATAGATAGTGTGTATGTATATATATATGTATATAATGTGTGTACACATATATATATATATATATTTATATATCATTGGACCAGAACCTAGAACTAGCACAGAAGTGATACTTCTCTTTCTAACTTGGTACTCTGGCCCATCTGGAAACCTGTATGCCATGGGGATATAGCAGTTTATCTATGCATTCCTTCAACTTTTTAATCAAACGTGTACTATATGCTCCACCCTACTAAAGGCCCTGGGAATACAAGTAAAGAGAGAGAACCCCCGCCCTCCTGGAGGGTACCTTCTAATGGAATGCCTAACGGTCCTGTCAGATGACTGGGAGCCTTGCTTCTCCACGTGTAGCCTGTAGGCTGATTACATGCTTATCACCTGCGAGCTTGTTAAATGAACAGCAGGATCTCTGGGTTTGCACCCAAACACACAGACTCAGAACCCACAGCTGAAGAACCCCAGTGCTTGGTGTGTCCATTAATGTTTGAGAGGCACAGCTTTAGGGGGAAAAAAATTAAGCAGGGCAGGGGTGGGGTATTGCCAGGGAGCAAAAGAGGCTGGTGTTCTTATTTCCTGTACAGGGAACATGGAAGGCATGACAGAGGGGCACAATTTGTTCAGAGCTCTTGAAGGCTGAGAAGGAAGGAATCATGTGGATTCCTAGTTGAAGAGCACTTTGGATGGAAGGATCAGCCAGTGCAAAGGCCCTGTGGCAGGAGACTCTCTGCCTATCTGAAAAGTAATAGGAGGCCAGTAAGACCAGAGCAGAGTGAGGTCCTGGCAAAGCAGTAGCAAATAAAGCCAAAGAAGAAACTGAGAATGTCAATTCATGGATCACTGGGGGAATCTTATAGAAATTGAAAACACTCTGGCTCTTTCTTAGAATGGATGGAAGCCTCAAGGTTTTTTATAATGTAAATCTGAAACGTAAAGACTCACACTCTGGTGACTACTATAAATATAATTTTTTTGTATGTGTGCCAGCACTGGGACTTGAATTCTCACTTGGCTTTTTCACTCAAGACTGATGTTCTACCGCTTGAGCCATGCCTCCATAATCAGTTTTTGTTGCTTAATTGGAGAAAAGAGTCTCATGGGCTTTTCTATCTGGTCCAGCCTTGAACTGAGATACTCATATCTCAGTGTCCTGAGTGAATAGGACTATAGGTATGCACAACTAGCACCAATCAGGGTCTCATATTTTTGCCTGTGATTCTCTTAACACCTCCCAAAGAGCTGGGATGATAGATGCTTATTGCCAGGCTTGGCTTATTGGCTGAGATGAGTTCTTCTTCATGTTTTGCCTGAGCTGGCTTCAAACCATGATCCTCCCCACCTCTGCCTCCTATGCAGCTTGTATTATAGATGTGAGCTGCCATACCAGGTATGCGGCACACATTTCTCATCCCCAAGTGAGAACATCTTCTCTACTCTTCTTTTTGACCTTTGTGTGTCCTTGATGAAGAAAATGGATATGGATCTGTCATCTTCTTCCTCTTACCAAATAGTTGGAGGTCGCATTTATTGAGTACCTGCTAGGGATGACACCAAAACACCACAAAGTGGTGCCCCATTTTACCAATGAGGAAACAAGCCCCTAAGAGTTTGCATAACTTGTCCAAGGTGGACAGAGGCTTCTGACCTCTTGGCCTTCATCCCTCCCTCCTGATGACTTGGGATTGAGGGGACCCTGTCAGGCTCACGTGGCTCTTCCAGTGCCCTTGGTCACGTGTGTCCGGCTGGCTCTTTCCCACAGCTGTGGTAAAGAACCCGCCTAACAATCTATGGATCATCGCTGCGGTGCTGGCGCCGATCGCTGTGGTGACGGTCATCATCATCATCATCACGGCCGTGCTCTGCAGGAAGAACAAGAACGACTTCAAGCCGGACACCATGATCAACCTGCCTCAGAGGGCAAAGGTAGGTGGGGCAGTGGGACGAGGCGGGGGCTCAGCCCCCAGAGGCCCTACCCTCCCCCTCTATCTCTCTGCTCCCCTCTCCTCCCCTCTCCACCTCTCCCCTCCCCTCCTCTTCTTCTCCTCTCCTCTCCTCTTCCCTCCTCTCCTCTCCTTATTTCTCCCCCCCCCTCTCTGTTTCTCTGTCTCTCTCCTCTCTCTGGTCTGAGACTGGGACTCAAACTTGGTACCCGACGTTTTGCTCATTGACTAGCACTCCACCAGCTGAGCCACGCCTGCACTCCCATCTGCCTGCCCTCTATGGGCTTCCAAGGACACGGGAACCCACGCCTCTTAGCTGCTCACTCTCCCCAACTAGTGTTTCCATGAAGTTTGCTTTTTGCACCTCTAATCCTCTCAGCATCCCTTTTGAGGAAGCACCAGTCATTATCTCACAGGTGAGGAAACCAAGGCACAGGAAACCTAGAGCTAAAAAGATCCGAGAGGCCCTTCAACATGTCAGTAGGCTCCATCCTTCTACCCATGAAAAGTCACACCTGTGCGATCACGTGGGAAGTAGCAGACGTGGAGGTGAAGTGGGTCTCCATTTGTGTCTGCCACATGCCTGTGCCAGAATCCTAGCCCCATCCCTCCCTGTGATGGCATGAAGCGATAGCTCTGTAGAAAGTGAGTTGGCTGTGAGGATGGAGCCTCCTTGCATGAGATTAGCGCCCTTCTGAAAGAAAGCCAAGAGAAGTGCTCGCCTCTTCCATCTCGTGAGGACACAGGCAATGAACAATCTGAAGCATGGCAGCCGGCCCTCAACAGAGCCCAACCACTTTGGTCTTGAATGACCCTGCTTCCAAAACCATGAGAAATAAATGTTACTTCAAAGGCCCCCCATGGATGGTATTTTGTTCTAGCAATGCAAATTGACTAAGACAAGATTTTGTTTTGGCCTCTAATATAAGGCTCCTTTGCTTCCCTGTTCTGCTGGCTGGAATGATTGCCATGGTAGACCAGCTGCCAGGCCAGGCCAGTGGTGAAGCCCACAGCCTGGCTGGGGTCCTATCTTCTCTCTGTCACCTGCATACCTCTGCCCTGGAGGCTGGTATCTGGCAGGGCCGTGGACAGAGGACATTTTGATGGCTAATTTTCCAGGCACGTAACTGCCTTTGTGATAGTCCCCGAGGGAATTATCTCAACTGTAAGACTTGGTGTTTAAATAATGCCTTACAATCTGCTGGCCCTTCTGGGCCTGTCACCTCGTTTGTTCATCACGCCAGCCTGGTGAGATAGGTCACAGTCAGGGCAGGTTTTATTATCCTCAGTGAACAGCCCGAACCCAAGAGGGAAAGGAAGATGTCAGGATTTGTCCAGAGTATAATACAACAAACAACAGGAGGGTGAGGGAGCCCCACGTGGAAAGCTTTGTACTCTTTCTGTGTGGTACCACCCACCAGACCCTGGAGATCTACCAGGCTGCTCTTCTTCTGTCTCAGGACCTCTGACTTCTGCCTACCTGGGTAGCAAGTGGCCCCTGCCCTACTTCTTGTCCAATGTAGTGCATGTCAGTTATAAAGCTGGTTCTGTGGGGATGGGGGTATCCACAGAACTCCCTTCCTTCTAAACAATCACTCCTCACCAGCGCAAAAGAAATCAAAGGACTCTCATTGCGGACTAAACTGATAACACCTGTTGTGATGCAGTGGCTTGATTAGACTGACTACAGAGGACCCACCCCCCCAAAAAAATGTGTATTCTGCTTCTGATATCCCCCAAGGCCTCTGCCTTTCCCATGCAGCAGGAGGCTGGGAGGAAGGGGCCACTGGAAATTGCCAGAATGCAAAAATGCACACTGCTCCAGAGTACAGTGTCGCATTTCCTAGCTTGGCTACCACGTGTGAAGCTTGCCACCATGACAAGTCATTACCAGCATGGCAGGGTCAGTCCAAGAACATCAAACATGCCGTGTTGACGTTAGAAGTGGCAGTCTTTGAGTCACAGATTCAACCAAAGCCTTATTCATCGGCAGAATGAAGCAGCACATCTTCTGGCTGGCACGCTCTCTGGGGCCAGCAGGGGGGGCGTGTTTATACTTTTCCCCAGCTCCTATTGTATGCCTACCCCGTGCATTGTGCTTTCTGGAGTACATGGCCAGGGTTGGAAATCAAACCAATTTAATGTCCATGAGTTGTGTGGCGCTGCTGCGGGTCTCCCCCTCCGGGAGGCTGTGTGACACATTTTGATTTCCACCACCCTTTTGTCCCGGGAAGCCAGCAGCTTGGAACTGCCATTGTGCTGCTGCAGTCCTCCTGGTCCAAGCCAGGGACACTGCGGTGTGTCGGAGAGAGGAGCGAGCCAGCTGCAAGGCTCTTTACCACCAGGTGTGAGCAGAATTCAGTGAATGCAAAGGGATGAAGCAGAATAAAAGAGTTAGCGAGGCGGATGGCACCAGGGATGGCGCTGTGTCTTTAGAATGCATGCTGCAGGGTCAGAGGAAATCCCGGGGACTCAGGCTGAGCCCCAGTGACAAACATAACATGCTAAGCAGAGGTAAGTGTGGGAGTCTAGGGGGCTGAGGCCAGAGTATCGAGCCTGTCCCTCATCCATGGAGACAAGACTCTAGGCATACGCTGTGGTATTGTCATCTGCCAGGTTTCCTTCCACAGGCTGAATGCTGAGAGAATAACAACAGCAGTGGGCTGGGTGCCTTGGCTTCAGTTACCTCGTGTCCTCCCACTTTGCTTCTCTTTACTCTTTGTCCATGCATCTGTAGTCCTTCCCTTCATTCAGATAAAGAGAACATGGCTGGAACTGGTGTCCTTTGGGAAAAGTAGTTATAGCCCTGCAATGGTGGGCGTGTTCTGTCTGGGACCAATCCTTCACTCCCTATGCACAACCAGCAATTTCCTCTCTTTCACATACTTATCTGTATGACTTCAGGAAAGTTAGGAGACCTCTTTTGTGCCTCAGCTTTCCCATCGGTAAAATGGGCGTGTTATCACTGTTCCTGGATAGGCTCCTGGAAGGATTGATTACAAGTTAATATATGTAAATTGCTTTGGGTTGTACCTGGTATATAATAAATACCAAATACAAGTTATCTTTCATTATTGCATGGTGTTTGGTTGTTTCTTAGACGGTCTTGATAATGTGTCTGTCTTTGGAATTATTGGAGATCATTGTTTTGATTTGGAAATTTTGTAAAACCCATTCAAACAATTTTAGGCAGGTCTTTCACAGCTTTGTATGACTGGGGTTATAATTACTCTTGTATCACTGATGTTTTTCTAACAAACAATAGGTGATTTTCAAGTTGAAGTTTGGGAGACCAGTTGCTTTGGGAGTCAGAAAAATGGAGGAATTAGTTTTCAGTTTTTACCACCTGGTTGTATGATCTTGAGCAAATCACAACCTCTCTGAGCGTTGGTATTCTTATTATAAAATGAAGACATGTTTGTCCTACTTACCCTATGAGTTTGCTGTGAGGACAAAACTAGGTCGGTGTCAGTATGCTATAAGTACTAACATAGTGTGTGTGTGTGTGTGTGTGTGTGTGTGTGTGTGTTGGTACTGAGACTTGAACACAGGCCCTCATACTCTCTTTTTGGCTTTTTCCACTTGAGGCTGATACTCTACCAATTGAGACACAGCTCCACTTCTGGCTTTTTGGTGGTTAATTGGAGATGAGTCTCCCAAATTTTTCTGCCTGGGCTGACTTTGAACTTTGATCCTCAGCTTTCACTCTCCTGAGTAGCTAGGATTACAGGCGTGAGCCACCAGCGTCCAGCACAGTGGCCACTTTTTCAGCTGTTGTTCCTAATGTCTGTCTTTTCACACACTCCCAATTGACCCAGTCATCTGACGTATGCAGCCAGTAACCTCAAGAAAGTGTGAAGAAGGGCAAGAGATCAAATGTAGAGAGGGTGAAACACGTGGGGAGCTGGGATCAGAGCTAGCTTATCCCACTCACTAGATTTAGGGAGTCACAGCTGTTGGAGGCTTCCACCCTCCCAGCCAGCTGGGAATCTCAGCACAGGAACAAGGCCAAGTAAAGTATAAGGCACCCAACCAAGATGGCGACTGCTGCGGGGAAGGTGGTCAGTGGAATGAGTTGTCAAGTAGTGGTTAGATGTTGTGATCTGGGTTCAAACAAGAAGGTTCAAATGCTGGCCCTGTCACCAGTCAGCTGTATGATCCTAGATGAATTGCTTAGTCCTTCCGAACCTCAGTTTTTCCTCTGTAAAATGGGGCTCATAGAGTTCCTACCTTAAGGGATACAGTACACAACCAACCTATGCAGTTATTACTATACCTGTTATATTGAATATGATTAAAACCGTGAGCTCCTCGGGGGTAATGACTAGTTCCTTGGTGGTTTTTTGGTTGTTTGGTGTTGTTGGTTTTTTGGTTTGTTTGTTTGTTTGCTAGTCCTGGTGCTTGAGCTCTGGGCCTGGGTGCTGTCCCTGGGATTCTTTTGCTGAAGGCTAATGCTGTACCACTTGAGCCTTGGCACCACTTATGGATTTTTCTGAGTAGTTTATTTGAGATGAGAGTCTCACAGACTTTCCTGCCTGGGCTGGCTTCATCTGTGATCCTCAGATCTCAGCCTCCTGAATAGCTCAGATTACAGGGCGTGAACCACTGGCGCCCAGCTGGTAATAACTAGTTTATATCCCTGTTTATTTCTCCAGCACTCCAATGGTCCCTGGTACAAGCCAGTGTTGTTGGTACAAAACTAAATAGGATAATAGTGCTGCTGGTGGTCCATACCTGTAATCCTAGCTATTCAGAAGGCTGAGATCTGGGAATCAGGGTATGAAGCCATCTTGAGAAGGAAAGTTCGTGAAATCTTATCTCTAATGAACAACCAAAAAAAACCCAGAAGTGGTAGAGCACTAGCCTTGAGCAAAAAAATCTCAGGAACAGTGCTGAGGCCCCAGACTGGCACCAAAATAAATGAATGAATGAATGAATGAATGAATGAATGACCACCAACAGCCATTTTAACTGGTCTGGGATTTAGTAGGAAGACAAATAAGGAAACTAATACAGAATGAGCACTAAGTTTGTGTGAGGCACCTAGATGAGTGCTAACCTTGAATTACTTATTTAACCCTTACAGCATCATCTGGAAGGTCATTAAATATCCCTCTCACATCTATAAACCTTTTATCCTGTTCACATTATTATTATCTCCATTTTACAAATGAAGAGCTGATGTCAGAGACTGTCAGTCACTTACAGCTAACAAGCAGTAACCTTGGATTTGAATCCAGGCAACCTGATTACAGACCCATGGCTCTTAACCAGCATAGTCCCACCTCAGTTATGCTTGTCCTGCTTGGAGGTTGGGGTGGGGTTAAAGAATTCAGATGTTCCTGGCAACTGGTTAATCATGCCTCTTGGATATTATTACTCTGCTAATACATAGTCTGTTGGATTTTGCTCACAGAAGTCTTATTCACTTTGGATTTCACACTAGTCAATAAAAGCCTTGCTAATTCCCCAGGAATGAATTATAGGGGAGCCAGCATGCTTCAGGGAGAAATGTGAATTAAAGAACAGTTCCCTAAATGCCATGTCACTGTTACTGATGGGATAGCTTTCACATTTTGTAGCATATCTCCCTCTCTGTGGCAGATCTGTGATCTGCCTTACTACCCAAGAGGGATAAAGTAAAGCAGATATTGTCATCTCTCTGATTGAGAGAGTTGGGGTTCGGAGTCCAAGGGACTGGGTAATCTCATACATGCTGCTGCACATAAACAGTAAGAGAATGGTGTTTAGGGACAATCAGATGTTTCTAAGCAGGACATGGTACAAGACGTAATATCTTAAAAAAAAAACCCACTAGGAGTTGTTTCCTAGTTAGCAGTATCCATTGTCGTAAAATGAATGGCTTAAAGCCCTTGAAAGAGTTTGTTCTCAACAGTTTTTACATCTTGTTGGTGCTCTTCATTTTTCTCTACAAGTCTTATCTATAGAGAGTCTTACTTGGGTGGAATTACCATTCTGATTTTGCAAGACAGACGTCATGAGAGGATCCAAGTTCATTCTTGTCTATCCGGAGGCTCACTTTTGTCTCATCACATGTATTTTGCTACCCATCTTTTCTGCAAGCTATTGTGGGAGGTGCTTTTCTAGAAATATGACTGCAACCTGTTTCCTCTTTGCAGCCCGTGCAAGGCTTTGACTATGCCAAGCAGCACCTAGGCCAGCAAGGAGCAGACGAGGAAGTCATCCCTGTGACTCAGGAGACAGTGGTCCTCCCCCTGCCCGTCAGAGATGTGCCTCAGGAAAGAGACACTGCTCAGGATGGGAGCACCATCAAAACAGCCAAGTCCACTGAAACCAGAAAGAGGTAGGCACAGGTCAACTTGCGACTCTCTGTGTTGGCAAGAGACATCAGTGCTGGTAAGAGCAGTCAAGGTTCGCAAGTGAATTCTAGCATTCTCTTGACATTTCCCTTCATGATCATTTTGAATATCAAATAGGAGATGAATGGAGAGAGCAATGGTGGGCAAATATAAGAATCATATTCAATGTACATATGCACAAATGGAACGAGGTAACGAGGGGATGGCTGGGGTTGAGATAGATGGGGGGGAGAGCTATATAAGGAATGGCATTGATCAAGATGCATTGTCATCATAAGTTGACATGTTGGATTGAAACTCTTAAACAACTAAAGATAATTTCTTAGCTAGAGAAGAAATTAGTAAGAAGAAAAAGAGATTGAGGGAGAGGACAAGAATTGCCACACCACCCTGTAAGAGTCACTGTTTATAAAGTTTCCTATCATTGATTGACCACAATAGTAGATATGTAGTTCTTCTGTATATTATCATAAATTTGGTCCTGATTCATACCATGCCTTTGTTTCAGGATAGTTGTGTTTTATCTGGCAGTTTCTCAATATAGTTTCTGATTTCAGTCAGTATCATTTATTGATGTGTGTGTGTGTGTGTGTGTGTGTGTGTGTGTGTGTGTGTGTGTGTGTTTATTATGAGCAGGTCACTTTGAAAGGCTTTAGAAGACTATAAAAATATATAACATTGATATAAGTCCTGGGGTTTGTATATAAGTATATAAGACCTGGGGCTTGAACTTAGGGCCTGACTGTCCCTGAGCTTCTTTTTCCCAAGGCTAGCACTCTGCTTCTTGAGCCACAGTGCTACTTCCGGCTTTTTCTGTTTATGTGGTACTAAGGAATCAAACCCAGGGTTTCATGCATACTAGGCAGGCACTCTACCACTAAGCCACATTCCCAGCTCCATAAGGTTGATTCTTGACCCCTAAGATCTCTCCATGGAGGAGACCTGGTGATAAATACCAGGCATGGAGATGTACAGGGCTGCAGTGGGGTCTGAGTCAGTCACTGTGGCTGAGGGGAAGGGGAAATACAATGCTGCCTTGGAGGTATCATGGAACAGGTTGATTCAGCTGAGCTGGAAGAGAAAATGAGGGCTGAGGAGGTGGAATGAGATAAAACCTTTATCTGAAAGCAGTGAGGAAAGAGAACACAGGCTCTGCATGCTGAGCATCTCTGTAGTTTGGAGTTCACAGTGGTTATATTACCAGATGATGGACTAAACCTACATGACCTTCACTGTGGGAAGTCACTGAAAGTTCTTTAGGAGACAGTGATGGCTAGCCTTTATTTTAGGACTAACGGTAACATGACTGATAGGTGAAAGAGGTTAGGTTAGAGGCCAAGAGACTTATTACAAGGACTTTGCCATCGCCTTTTTAACCACTATTGGCTGGCTAAACCAACACTCATTGCAAGCCCCTTTCTCTGTTGCCTGAGTCCACTGTGGAGGCTGGGAAAGCTGTCTCCTCCCTCCCTCTTTTCTCTTTTTTAATCTAACAGGTAAGTTTTATTTGTTTGCTACTTACCTGGACATACTTTAGAGGAACAAGACAGAGTTTCTGTTCTCATGGAGCTTAACATCTGGTGGGAAGAGCAAGGCAATAAACAAGCAGAGAAATTAATAAGGTCTGTCTGTCTAGGTCAGGCGGTGATGAGCACAAAGAAGGAAACCAAAGCCCAGAAAGGGGATTTACAGATGTTGAGGGAGATATAGCGCTATTTTAGATAGGAAGCAACGGAGGACCTCACTGAAATAAGGGGTCAGCTATAAAGCTGTCTATAGGAAAAATTTTCTGAGAAGACAGAATGGTGTGTGCAAACCCCGAGGAGGAAACGTCTTGGCACACTCGAAGATCAAGAGGTCAAGGAGACTGGTGTGCACTAAGGAGGAAGCAGTAGCAGATGGGTTAGAGAAGTACTCTTCAGTTAATCATGTCAACCCTAAAGACTGAAGTCAGAACTTGGAATTTTACTGTACAGAAAGATCAGATGTCATGGGAAAGTTTCTAGAAGAGCAATGACATGTGGTGGCTTAAAGGTTCTTTCTGGTTTTGTGTGGAAAATAGTTAACAGAGATGGACAACACTGCTGTTGTGGTTCAGGTGAGAGATGGTAGGATACACCCTGGGCATGGTGGTTTGAGAAGTGATTGGGTTCTGGAAACATTTGGATGGAAATGCTGACAAAATTTGCTGAGACCATAGTGAGATTTGGAAGTGGAAGAGAATGTATTTTCCCTTATTAGTACTATAGAAGACAAGGGCAGAAGTGTGTTAGGGATGATTAAGAGTTAGGATGTGAGTATGGAGAATTTAAGATGTCCACAGATATGTAAATGAAAGTGCTGAGGACTCATTGACCATGTGTCTGGAACTCAGGAGAAATCTAGAATAGCAATAAGCAAAAGAAAGGAAAGGAAGTCTTTGAGTCTTAACTCCCAATTCCTGTGCAGGAAGCAAGAGGTGTTTCTTTTCTTTTTTCTATTTTTCCCAATTTTATCCTGCTATACTAAAATAAGTCCTTGCTAAAACTAAAAATGGAAAGGGAAGGAAAAGAAGGGAAAGGAAAGAGAGAAAATGAAGGAAGGAGAGAAGGAAAAGGGAAGAGAAAGGAGGGAAAGAGAAAGAGAGGGGGGAGGAGAGGTTATAAAAACAAATGAAGCAAAAGGGGAACACTATCATGATGCGCATTTTTTAAGGGCTGGCTTTATTAATGCCAGACAATGGGAGAAACCCTATCTCTACTCAAATCTAGCTGATCACAGAAGTATGAGATCATTTACAAAATAGCCATTTGCCAATAGCACTTAAGTGAATGATTGTCATAATCAAAGAAGGGCCATAATTGTTTAGCAGTTGATTAGGCCCCACCTCAAAGACTGTTCTTCTAGGTTACATGTCTGTCTACATACCAGGATAGGGACGGCCTAAATGTACAACATCACAGGTAACAATTTTTTGGCAAAAACTCAGAATCTAACACTTTCACCCATTGGCTGGTGCTCTACCACTTGAGCCATGACTCCAACCCACATTTTTTGGTTTTCAAAGCACTTTTATTGCTGTCCTAGTAATATGTGTATCACATACCTGGTTCTATTTTTTTTTTTGGGTCCGGTAGTGGGGCCTGAACTCTGGGCCTGGGCGCTGTCCCTCAGCTCTTCAGCTCAAGGCTAGCGCTCTACCACTTGAGCCACAATGCCACTTCCGGCTTTTTTTGCTTATTTGGTGCTGAGGAATCGAACCCAGGGCCTCAGGCATGCAAGGCAAGCGCTCTACCACTGAGCCACCTTCCCAGCCCCACATGGTTCTATTTTAACAAGAATTTCAAATTGATGACTCATGCAAACAAAAGTCTATAAACTTATGCAAAGAATGAAACAGAGTTGAGTTTTTTTTATTTGCTCATTGAGTCTTTCCTTAAAGTGGGAAAAACAAAAAAGCTGTTTTCTGAAATGAGGGATAAGTATGAAAATGCAACAAAAATCAGTGAGTAATATTTAAATGTACTTACAAAGCTTACAAAAAGCTTTCCCTATTTTTACCCCTCAGAACTAAATAAAAACCTTTTTTTAAAAAGCCAGCTTTTAATCATGAGGTTCTAAAAACAACCCCAGAACACATGTCTACTCTCCATATTCAGTGATCAAATATATATCATTATAAAAATAATATATATCTAATAAAAATTTTAGTGCCTGGTCCATGTTTTCCCAGACTACATTCTTCCTATTACAAATTTTATAGCATGTTAAAAGGGTCAGAGTGAAAGAGATTTATGGCCATATATACTGGAAAATGTCGGATTAAATGAAACAAAATTAACCCACAACAGAACTGCTCAGGAACTTTGATATGCTAATAGAACACTAAGAATCTCCAAAGAAGGACTATAGCAAACAATATACATGGGCAGTTTGATTCTAGGACAGTTTTAACAAGTGCTACCTTATCAGGTAGACAGCCCAGCCTTCCTTGGTGGCTTTTAGGGTCTGACATGCACAGAACTAGGAATTCTCACTAGGATGCTCACCTGCTGGTCAAGGGCATCAATTCCCAGATGCTCTTCTATTGCAAGGTTTGGAGCCAGGGTTTTTTAAATGTGGCCCACTGAGGGTAGAGGAATGAAAGGCTTCGGGTGGCTCCCACCTCTTCTACAGAGGAAGGCAGTGTAATCTTTGTGCTCAGACTGAGACCTAAAAGGAGCATGAACCTACAAGGAGGAGATCTCAAGAAGCCACTTTGCTACTGAGTTCCAAAAGGAAAACTTGGGAAGTTTTTGAAAGAAGATCCGGTGGCATGTCAGCATTAGAATCACTGTTGGCCCATGAAGGGAGTATGTTTTGGGGTGAGGATGGGAGAGCATCCCTGGCTTTCTGGCTGATTTGCCACAGCCCTATAGCTATCCTGAACAATGCCTTCCATCTCCATGCGCTTCATATTCCTCACTTGCCGAACAGTACTGGCCATCACGAAATCAGGGATGATTGCAATGAGTCATTGGGAATGCTCAGCTCAGTCCTTGGCACAGAGCTCTTAGCACAGAGGGACATCAGAGTCCATTGCCTTGTATACCTATCATGATGCCTGGCACAAAGAAGGTACACACACACACTAATGTTCCCTGGAGGAACAAACAGCTCAAATTGGTGTTTTCACGATACAAGGGGTTACTGTGTACCACAGTGAAAGAGCATGTGTAGATATGTGCAGGGGGGGGGGCGCAGGCAAGGGAGGAGCGAGAGAAGACTCCACAGTGGGGAGACTTAACCTCTTGTAGCTAAGATCTACATCATGAAGACAATAGCCGAAGAGAAGCACGTTTTATGCATATCTGAAGACACTCATTTGATCCAGACACTCAGCATGCACAAGTGGTGTGTGTTAGAGGGAGAACTCGCTGCACAAACACTATCACTGCTGTTTCCATAGTCACCAAGAGGTAATAAAACTGTGATGGGATGGAGAGCTCTGTGCTCACTGGACTTCTCTGCAGAGAATTATGGGAAAATGCACTTTGTAACAACAGCCAGAGGCGCGTCCTTGCAGTAGTGTAGATGGTTTTGTTTTCTTTCTTTTTTAATTTTGTCCAATTTCATTTCTTCTTGACTGGTAAGACCGGAAAGAAAGACTACAGACACAAATAAAATAACCTTGGGAAGTAGCTGTGCTAGTTGAAACTTATGGTCTCCGCTGTTGCTATGGTTACCTCCAGCAGGTCGCCCAGTGAGAATGGCTCTGTCATCAGCAACGAATCAGGGAAGCCCAGCTCAGGAAGACGCTCACCCCAGAACGTAATGGCACAGCAGAAAGTGACAAAGGAGGAGAACAGGAAGAGAAATGGTGAGAAGTCTTCCAGCCAAGCCCCTCCCTAACTCCTCATGTGAATTTTCGAACATAGACCTGCACGTGCACACACACACTCACCCCAGGCTAGAAATCTGCTATGAACCTTTGGGGTGATCATTTTACCCCTTCTCTGAATTGTTTCATTTCACCTCTTCTTTCCCTGCTCATGAGAAAGTGTGTACTTTCTCAGAAACAAACAAACAAACACCCCTTCGCAGAACAAATTGTTTGCTCAGAGATTTTTCTATTTTTTTTAATTGAATCAATGTGATTTTCAGAACCAGGTCCATTAAAGTGTCAAGTCTCTGTTTTGGAGGTTTCCTTCCATTTCTTGCCCTCTTCCCCTTGATGAGTTTCAGTAGTTCAGTCTAAACGAGTGAGTTCAGATATTACAAATCTACTTTTGCCAAAACAAAATAGATCTGTCACCAGAGGGGGAAAAAGTCAAGGGAGAGTGGGAAGGGATAGTGGGAGAAAAACAAAGGGGGGGGGTAACAATGCCTGACAAGAAATGTACTTCTTACCTTACTGATAGAATTGTAACTTCTCTGTATAGCATCTTTACAAGAAAATAAAATTTAAAAAAAAGAAAAAAATCAACCTTTTAAAGCATAGTGGTATAAGCCTATAATTCTAGCTAATTTGAGATCTCAAGTTTGAATACAGCCTGGGCAACTTAGTGAGACCCTGTCTCAAAACAAAAAAATAAAGAGTTAGAGAGGTAGCTGAGTGGTATAGTTCTTGCCTAGTATGCACAAGGCCCAGAGTTCAACTCCCATTAACACACACACACACACACACACACACACACACACACACACACACCTACCACCTTTAGTTAATTAGTGCATTAATTCATTAAATCTCAATTTTTTGAGAGACTTAACTATTTAATCTCTCTTAGACAGATTATTATTACCCTTCCTATAAAGAATTGCTGTTGGGGTTCATTCTCAGCTCCCTTCCTAGCTGTATTATCTGTAGACCACAGGTGTCAGACACTATTGTACAATCTTGGTTTGTTCCTGATTCCACCCTTGGTTCTGACCCGCAGTCCACATGGTCCTTCTGCATATGAGGCTGGCTCGATACTGCCCGGAATCAAGGACCCATCACTGCTGATTTCAATCAGAGAAAATTCCTTTTAGATGTCAAAGGGTTGTAGGTAGTGATCTCCAGAAAATGTCAAATGAAAGGCTAACCAATCTGGCCCCACTGTTTAGCTGGGCTCTCCTTTTGAAAGAATTTGATGAAATATAGTTCAGGGACTCTCTCTTGAAGCTAGTGTCAGAATATTCTTTAGTTTGCAAATGTCACCTATTTCTTTTTTTTCTGTTACATAAAGAAGCAAAGTTTAAACAAAACAAAAACAAAGAAAAGCAAAATGGACTTACATTGTGCAGAGAAAATATGTTCCCTCCTCATTGCCAGCTACTATAAATTGGAATGTATTTATATGCATTTAAACACTTCAAATTGGCATATTTATTTGACTGTTCTCCTGAATTCTGATTACTGTGGATGACAGAAACTGTACATTCTGTATCGTAGATTCATAGATGAGTATACTGCAGGGGTCACCTAAGCAAACATAAGCCCATCCACTCTCCTAGCTCTGTCTGTTCCTTCTCCATTCCTTTTTATATACTCTTTGACATTTTATAAAGTCAATTCAAAGAACATTCACTCCCCCAGTCACCCCACTCACCTACCTTGGGCTTCAAATGACCTTGAAGAACTTAATGTCTTTCTCTGACCTTTTTACTATGCACATGACAGCATATATGTATCCTTGCATTTTAACATCCTGCTTTGTTTTCTTTTATAAAATGAAATCTATGTGCACATTGTTCTATGTCCTTATTCTTGCTTAAAAATGTGCAAAACCCAAATTCCTTTATCAGTCAATAGGCACTTACAGAAAGACACATTTTTCCTCCTACATTTAATCCACAGAAGAGGAGCAAGCTGGTTGGTTCCAGACCACATCACTCACTATCCAGCCACTGATGCTGACTGGCCCTAACTGTTTCATCTGACCTTTGCTGGTCCTGTTTATCTGTCTTCTCTATCTGCCTCCATATTCTGTTTAGATCACCTTGATTATGTGTGTGTTTTAATTTTTTATTACTGTCTTGAAATACTATAGATGGATTTCAATTCAATGTATCAGTTTATGAGTACAGTGCATCTTGATATTTATTATATATCATATATTTATTATAATTTGATATTTATCAGATTCTAAAATAACTAACAGATGTGTAATTACTGTACCAGGTTGAGTTTTTTTGTTTTATTAAGACACCACCTTTTGCAGGATTATAGTGTTTGCTTGGCCACATTTTAATTTTGCAATAAGTAAAAGAGAATTTACAGAGTTGGCTGCTTCTGTTTGATCAAAAAAATTTGTTCAGTGGGGTTTAGGTTTAAATTTTTCAATTAGAATTGAGAGGAAGCTCATTTACGTAAAATTCCACAGACTTAGCAGTATATCCAAATTCTAGGAAAATACCTTTTTATGAAATCCACATTCTTTTTCTTACTAAAAGGGCTCTTTTTAATCTTAAATACTATGTAAGAGTTATCTGATTTTTAAAAAACTCACTAGTATTTGTGATTGGATTGGAACATGATCCAAAGAAAAGAAGGAAGAAAATGACAGAAGAAAAGTGTATTTTTATCAGATAGCCTGCAAAAAGGATTGAGCTCTTTTTACATGAATGTGGCCTCTGAAAATAGACTGTGTTTTTGTGGACTGTTTAAATACTGTTGCTACCCTAGAGCGTCTAATTAGACTCTGGGTTAGATAACACATGTTAATGCGCTAGGCTGTTATTCTAAAGCTCTTCTTGTTTCTCCCAGGCTTGTTGTATCTATAGCTTCTAATTTTGTTGTTCTTTGTAGGGGGAAAAAAAGAACTTTATTTATTTATTTTTAATAAGCTTTTTATTGTGAGAATACTGTACAGAGGGGTTACAGTTACATGAGCAAGGTAATGAGTACATTTCTTATCAAGCATTGTTGCCTCCTCCTTTGTTTTTCCCCTACCATCCCTTCCCTCCCACTTCCACAACTACACTCCCACCCCCCACCCCCCGAAAAAAAGAACTTTAGGAGGAAAAGAGCCTATTTTACTAAGAACATGGCTGGCTGCCCTGGGCCCTTAGAGCTCAGTGGCTTCATCACTTACTGTATTAGTTAGTGAGGCAGTGTGTGCTGGTGGTGAGAATGTATAGAGATGGCTTCTCACCCTGTGTCATCAAGGAAAAGAGAGAGACCGAAGGGGCTAGGGACACGATATCTTCAAAGACCTACTCTCAGTAACCTACTATCTCCAGCTTCGTTCCCCCTCCTAAAGTTTCCAGAACCTCCCACAATAATGGTGACAGCTGGGGATGAAGTGTTCTTGTAGGGGACATTTCATATGGAAACCATCATAGTTACCCTAGCCACAAGTCAATTTTAGAGTCTATTTTACAAAATTTTTAAATATTGATTGAAAAGGTAGATGTGGCAGATAGAATTTTGAAAGCAAAAAGAATCTAGCCAGATGTCGGTGGCTCATACCTGTTATCCTAACTACTCAGAAGGCTGAAATCTGAATGTCATGGTTCAAAGCCAGCCCAAGCAGGAAAGTCTGTGAACCTCTCCAGTTAACCACCAAAAAAAAAAAAAAAATAGAAGTAGAGCTGTGGCTGAAGTGCTAGTGTTTCAGCCTTGAGAGAAAAAGTTCAGGGACAGCACCTAAGGCCATGAGTTCGAACCTCAACACCAGCACATGCACACACACACACACACACACACACACACACACACACACACAATATTTTTTGTGCTTTTCCAAATAGAGACATAGGAACTTCTAAGTCAAACTCTTATGTAACCTTTGGAAAGATATTTTCTGGGAAAGAGTAAAAGTGCAAGATTGCAAGTTTAGCACATTATGTTTAAAATATGTGTGAGGGTGTATATTTGTGTATATATGATATTGATATACATACATGTAAAATATATATTGAGATTCCATGAGTCAAAAAGCCAGGAATGTGTGTATCTGTGATCCCAGCTACATAGGTAGGAAGACCATGGTCTGAAGCCAGTCCAGGCAAAAATGCAAGTTACAACCTGGAAAATAACTAAAGCAGAAAAGACCTGGGCATGTTTCTCAAATTGTAGAGTACCTGCTGAGCAAGCAAAAGACTCAGAACTCAAGCCCTAGTACCACCAAAACAAAACCTCTGGCTTTATCCTGAAAGCCATGGACCTTCAGACCTTTCTAATCCAAAGATAATATGATCAAGTTCCTTGTTGAAAGAGCACCTATCCTAATTGCTGGTGGTGTATGTATAGTAACAGGAGCTCGGAGATGGAGGTTGGTTTTAAGGTGCTTCATCAGTGATTTGTTGACAGGATATTGTTTACTTATAGGTTATTATTAACCCTATACATAGTTATCAAAGATGGCAGTCTACATTTATTAAGTCATGTAATGTTTGGAGGGTAAGGACTCTTGGAGAAGCTGAGCTGGGTGATTCTGGCTCAAAGTGTCCCATAAGTCACAATCAAGACATTGGCCTAGACTATAGTCATCTAAAGTATCCACTGGGCCTGAAGACGGCTCACTTGTGTGGCTGGTGGGGGAGGGAGGACTCAGTTTCTAGCCATCCACCCCACCTGTCCCTAGGGCTGCAATGATCCAAGAGAGCAAGGTGGAAGCTATCATTGTCTTTTTAAAGCTGTCACTTCTGCACTTTCCACTTGGTTACACAAAGTAGAACCAAAGCCTATTTATTATGGGAGGTGAGAATTACTGAGAGCCATCTTGGAGGCCAGTAGTTGTCCTAATGGGGGGAGAAAGGTGGTCAGATATGAGGTGCCCAGAAAAAAGACCCTATCAAAATGTATGCATATCTCATAACACATCTGAATAGATACTTTCCTCTGTCCATTGGTTTCTGGTATTCCATTGGTCTGGTATTTTCAAACCAGTCCATACAACAAAACAGAACAATCCAGTTATAACCCATTGTTAGACTCTGCAGTGTTTTAGCCATGTTGTAAAATAGCAATTCACTTGGCTTAACCTGATTGATCTGTGATTATAGTAAGTGACAGGGTGATATAAACCATGTGTTTCTCAATAATTTAAGTAACATTCTCCTGAGCAGGTAGGAGGGATGAGGAACACACTTTTGTTACATTCATATTTTAGAGAATACCTATTTTGCTTCTAAATTATCTGATGGTTTAGTTGTTCGAACAGACTTAATTTATCTCTTGCCAAGCCATGCTCAATGAGTTGTCATTCCTAGAGCTGCTTCATGGGAATACGCTTCAAGAACAAGCAATACTTCTGGCCCTGGAACTTTTCCTCTCAGCTCAGTTATCAAAGCACAAAGCCAACTGGTATCTTTCAGCTATTGTAGCAGAATGATCTGTCAGATGGGAGAATTCATTTAACAGAGTGTAGGTGGCAACCAGTCTATTTAATTAGGGGAGTTGCTTTCATTCTCAGCTGATTTCCTCGCTTTCTTTTGTCTTAATCAAATGAAAGAAACCAAAGTGAAAATCATTGGTGAGAGGGAGGGAGAGAGAGAAAGAGAGAGAGCAAGCAAGGAAGGAAGGAAGACAGGCAGAAAGAAGAAGAAGAAGGAGGAAGAGGAGGAGGAGGAGGAGGGAGGGAGGGAGGGAGAAAGGAAGGGAGGAAGGAAGGAAGGAAGTAGACAGGCAGGCAAGAAGCAAAGAAATCACAGCAATGAGTATAGATAGTTGCTCAAGACTTGTCACCCCAATAGTTGCAGATTTTAGCCAAACTTACTCCTTTCATTCCCAACTCAGGCATCCAGAACAAATTAACTTTTTATGCCAAATGTGCTTTGTCAGTTTTGAAAAAAAATAAATGTCCTTTACTGTTTTGACTCAAGTCTTTACAACTGGTTCCTACTCACTGATGACACGCTGGCAGGATAAATCGTGTAGCTCTTAAAAGGAAACCATGAAGAGCAGAGAGCCCTTGTCACAGAACCAAACAGGGTTGTCTCTGAGGTCCTTTTGATCACTGTCTGTAGGGGTGAGCCTACTAGCATTCCCCAAGATCGTGAAACTCTCAACATCCTAAGTCTTATGTGTTTATGTTGGCCTTCAGTGACAGCCAGTGATGAAGAGGAGGGCGCAGTTCTCTTTGACAGCACAGCCAAGGCAGCAACAGATCCCTTTGACACGTCTTCTGGATCTGTGCAGCTCATTGCCATCAAACCTGCAGCCCTGCCTACGGTGCACCCTGCTTCAGACAGGAGCCAAGAATCCTCGTCTGTCCTCAATGGTGAGGTGAGCATCCATGACCCCATGTGGGGCAGGCCAGTGGTCTTCAGGGACTGGATTCATGCCTTTCAGCATGCAGGTGAAATCTGTGTTCAGTTATCTCAGGCTGCTAATGTTACTGTAGCCCCTGCATGTACCAGACCTTAGTGAGATGACTCAGGAGACAAGTCACACACACACACACACACACACACACACACACACACACACCAAAACAGCCCTCTGCTTTTCTACATCTTGCTCCCTAACACTTCCACTGTCATGGTGATGGGAAGAATGTGAATTGAGAGGGAAGTGGGTAGGATGTGACCCACTACAGGCTTTGAAATGACAGTTTTTTCCTTTGAGCAAGTCTGGAACAATCCATTAGCTGCTTTTGGAAAGATATCAATATATAGCATGATGTTTATCAACTTTTCTAGGAATCCAAAGAGTCTGTAACACACAATGATTGCGATCTTATCAAGGAAAATTAGGTGGTGATAATAGATAGATGCTTATATAACAGATGTTTGATAAATGCATGAAAAGGGAGAAAGAGATCTCAGAGGGACAAGAAGGAAGTCAGGGAAGAATTGTATGCTCTCCCTCCCTCTTCTTCAGCTGAATGGCTAAAATACGTATGCACCTTTAAGAATCTGTGTATAGGACGTTTAATATAACTGTGAACATTTCCCTTACATGTATGTACAGGTGCATACACACACTCCACACACACACACACACACACACACACACACACACACACACACACGTTTTTCTCTGGGGCTAAGCTGCCAGGCTGGTTATTCAGTTTACTTATTTATTCCTTGCTACGATTACCTAAAACAGGTAGAAAACTTCCAAAGTTTTTTTTGTTGTTGTTGTTTGTTGCTGTTGTTGTTTTTCTGGTCCTGGGGCTTGAATAATGGGCCTGGGTTTTGTCCCTGAGCTTCTGTTTTTTGCTCAAGTCTAGTGCTTACCACTTGAGCCATAGCACCACTTCCAGTTTTTGAGTAGCATATTGGAGATAAGAGTCTCACAGACTTTCCTGCCTGGGCTGGCTTTGAACTATGATCCTCAGATCCCAACCTCCTGAGTAGCTAGGATTACAGGCATGAGCCACCAGCACCTGGCCAAAGTTTTAAAGTTTCTTTCCCATAACACCTCCAACAACATGTCACAGCCCTGTACAACTAGGCATCATATATACTATCATTTTGCATATTTATCCAAGTGTTACACAAACCTGTTCCAGGAAGTATCTCGTTTTCTAGGCAAAAAGACTGAGCTAGCAGCCTAAAGAGGTGACAAATTGAACTGTAACAACTTCAAAATGTAACTGAATATACACTCAAGGAGCACTTATATTCCAACTTCTTCGTATTAGAAAAACTAAAGCAGAGGGGTCTGCTGGCTTATTCAAGGTTATACTGAAGGTGATTTGTGGTACCCTATTCAGTGTTCTTGCCCTCTCTTTAACACTCATTCAAGTTCATTGGTGAGCAATAGAATTGCACTTAGACATTGTGGCCTCTCACACCATGGGAGCATGCTGCCAGAGTTTGTATCCCAGTTCTTCCATTACGGTCTGTGTGACTTTCATTAAGAGATTAATTGACTCCTCTGTGCCTCAGCATTTTCATCTGCAATAAATGGGTAGCTGTGAGAATCAATATATGTAAAGACTATAAAACAATGGCTAATACACATGAGATGTTTTACTATCACCAATTAGTCTGCAGGAATAGTCAAAACCAATCACATATCAGGCGCCAGTGGCTCACGCCTGTAATCCCAGCTGTTTGGGAGGCTGAGAGCTGAGGATTCAAGTTCAAAGCCAGCCTGGGCAGAAAAGTCCCCAAGATTCTTATATCTAATTAACCTCCAAAATGTCAGACGTGGAGCTGTGGCTCAAGTGGTAGAGTATCAGCCTTGAGTGAAACAGATAAAGGGAAGTACTTTGGCCCTGAATTCAAGCCCCAGGAACACACACACACACACACACACACACACACACACACGCTACTGCTTCTTTCCTGGGGTGTGATTTTGCCACCAAATATTCAAGCCTCTGAAGTTAGCACAATGTGCTGATAGCTGCTGTAGATTGGGACTTTCTCCCTAGTTCTGAGCTTACATAGTGGTCACCATGCCTGGATCCCTTGTCCAGCTTAATGATATGAGCATCATAGACTCAAAATCTGGGACAGATTCAATTTCCTGTTCCCTTTTTCTCCCAGGCTCTTCACCCTGTCACAGAAAGAGAACAGTTGAGCCTTTTTCCTTGTTCAGAAATGATCCTTGCTACATTTTGGGCAATAAGAGGAAAGGACCCTACCCACATTTCAGTTAGAAGAGAACCCGCACTGTTCTCTGTAATTTACTGCCTTGTATAGATTGACACAGATTGCTTTGCAATTTTCTCTCTTCTTCTCTGATGGGTGGCTGGTTTAATTTTTTTTTTAAGCCTAACCCTGATGTCATGAATTTCCCTTTTATGAATTACAGGAAATTCTTTTCAAGATGATTTTAAAGAAGACATAGTAACAACATACAAAGTTCAGAAATGTGGGCATAACATCGTTATCACTTACTAGGTAGTAAACATGGCCATCTGCTTGTTTCCCAGACCCAGAATACATTATTAGCATGTATCTTTCTGAAAGGCCAAAGCTTCAGAGCTCTCTCTTTCTCTCCCACACCCCTCTCTTTCTCTCAAAGTCATGCTCTCTCAGCTGCAGATGACTTGTGTGAAAGGTGTCTGGAGCAGAACATTTGTTTACCTTCTTGCCCCATCCATTCCTCCTGCTTCAAAGGACTTGTTGTCTCCTTTAACTAGGCCGTAGCTACATAGCCAGAGACGTCACAGGCCCCTTGGGGCTGGAACTAGCCTCATGGCATCAAGAACTAGCTAGGCTTCCAGGCCAAAGATCACCACAAAGGTGTATGCAGAATTAGAGCCATTCCCACAAAGCTGGAAGTGTGGTGTCAGACCCAGGCCAGAGCAGTCTTGAGAGAAGAGGATGAGAGATCTCCGGACAAACCCCCACATTGTGAGCTTAGGTTTGAAGGGGATGCAGGTGGGTCTGCAGGCTCAGAAGCCCAGAAGTGACACCTAGGGTGGCTTTTTAAGAGTCCTGGCCTTCTAGTGAAAGCCCCCACCGGTCACCATGCTGGGTTGGATGTGGGCCTGAGGCTGTCTCTCTTTCCAGGTAAACAAAGCCCTGAAGCAGAAGTCAGACATCGAGCACTATCGGAACAAGCTGCGCCTCAAAGCCAAGAGGAAAGGGTATTATGACTTCCCAGCTGTGGAGACAAATAAAGGCCTGACGGAAAGAAAAAAGATGTATGAAAAAGCCCCAAAGGAAATGGAACATGTTTTGGAACCAGACCCGGAACTGTGTGCTCCATTCCCTGAGGCTAAAAACAGGTATGGGCTCTATAGATTTGGGGAGGTGGGGAGTGTGGGGAGGCCAGTACTGGGACTTGAACTCAGGGCCTGGGCAACATCCCTTAGTTTAGTTTTGTTTTTTTTCAAGGCTGGTGCCATACCACTTGAGCACTTCTACTTCTGGCTCTTTGGTGGTTAATTGGAGATAAGAGTCTTACAGATTGTCATGCCTGCACAGCTTCAAGCCAAAGTCCTCTGATCTCAGTCTTTTGAATAGCTAGGACTACAAATGTGAGGCACTTGTGCCAGGCTAATCTGTGGGATGTTTTTTTTTTTTCCAGTCCTGAGGCTTGAGCTCAGGACCTGGGCGCTGTCCCTGAGCTTCTTTTGCTCAAGGCTAGGACTCTACCACTTGAGCCACAGTACCACTTTCAGCTTTTTCTGTTTATGTCGTACTGAGGAGTGGAACTAAGGGCTTCATGCATGCTAGGCAAGCACTCTACCACTAAGCCACATTCCCAGCCTGGTCTGTGGGATTTTTTTTAGAGCAATGTATCGTGGGTGGGATGAGGCAGAGGAGAGCTCAGGCCAGCAGGGTCCCCTGGTCTGATGCTTACAGCAGGGTCCCCTGGTCTGATGCTTCAGGATTATGATGTTTTCAGGCTGTTGCTCCAGGCCCTGCTGGTCTGCACAAAGCAGGTGCTCTGTAATAAATCTAGAAGAGAACAAAATTGAAGCCATTAAAAAATAATACTGGGCAGGCAAACAACCATAATTGTCCTTTAGCTTAATGATATTTTCAACCCAGTAGTTATTGCAGAGCTGGATAAAGATATAGTCTTTAGTCATCTATCTTTAGTCATCTACCTAGTTATACAACTTTCAGACCAGGGGACATTGTATGTTTCAATTATGTTCCTGGTTCTTACATAAGAAAAGCTAATTTCATGCCTCGTGTGTACGTATTACATGGCTGCTCAGCACTCTAGGCTGGTTTGTCTGGTTCATTCACAGATTTCTTCAGTTATTTGACATTTATTGTCACCTGCTATGATTTAGGCACCCATCAAGATGCTGCACACAGCCAGGCACCAGGGGCTCACACCTGTAACCCTAGCTACTCAGAGAGGCTGAGATCTAAAAATCACAGTTGAAGCTAGCCCAGGCAGACAAATCTTAGAGACTCTTATCTCCAATTAACTATGCCAAAAAAAAAAGTTCTAGGCACTGGTGGCTCATGTCTGTAATCCTAGCTACTTTGGAGGCTGAGATCTGAGGATCTTGGATCAAAGCCAGACTGGGTAGGAAAGTCCATGAGACTCTCATCTTCCAATTAACTGCCAAAAAGCTGGAAGCAGAGCTGTGGCTGAAGTGGTAGAATGCTAGCTAGCCTTGAGCAAAAAGAGCCTAGGAACAGTGCCCAGGACCTGAGTTCAAGCACCTGGACCAATATCAAACAAAAACAAAACAAAGCAAAAACTGAAGTACTGCCTTTGAGTACAAAAAAACTAAGAGGGAGCATGAGGCCCTGAGTTCAAGCCCCAATGCATACACACTCACACACATACACACACACACTCACACACACAACAGATGTCGCATACTACCACAGCTTTTTCTAATGCATTCCTTCAATTCCTTCAGCAGGTTATGGTACACACAACAACCTTTTAGCTGCTGAGGTCTGATGTGAAAGATAATCACCCCGAAAGTATATACCACAAGTCTAAGGGGTGTTTAAAGTGTGAGCTGCTATAGCAGTGTAACAGGGAACTTGGCCTACTGAGGCCAGGCTACATGGTTTGAATTGGTTTCCATCTTGGTCCATTTTCTGTTCTTACAGCAAAATTCCTGAGACCAGATAAATTGTAATGAATAGAAGTTAATTTTCTCACCATTCTGAAGGCTGGCACCAGCATCTGGCGGGGGTTTTCTTGCTTCATCATTACATGATGGAAGGCTAGTTTAAAGTGGTATTAATGTCACCCATGAAGGTAGAGCCTTTAAGGCTCTATCACCACCCAAAGGTTCCACTTCCTAACACTGCCAAAACACCAAGCTCCCAAACCAAATTGGAAGGTGGGACGAAATCTTTTGAATTGCATCAACATTATTTATTTTCAACAAAGAGAGAACTATAAAACCAGGGCTTAATTTACCATACTCCTCATTTGACTTCACTGGTATGACAAACCACTGACTAGAACCATACCCTCATGGGTTCACCATGCCTGTGTCACCATGTTAATGGATAGAAGACAAAGGAGAAGCAAAGTGAGGGGTTCCATAGGGAGGCTGGTGTCAACTTTAGCTTCACTGCTTTAGGGCGGGGGGTGGGGGTGGGGGGAGGGAGTGTCTCTTATAGACTGATCTGAGCGCTATGATTTCTGTTGACACTAGGGGGAAAAAATGAGTCCAGTGTATACAAATCAGAAATGGTTGGCATGGGAACAACTTGAGGAATAAATAATGACTTCAATTTCAGCATTTTATGACAAGAGAATGAATAAGACTTTTATGGGAGCTGTGCCTAAAGGGCCTAGCCTAGGTCCAGGTCAGATGCTCTTTGGTGACCTGCTGTTGTACCTACAGCAACTGTCATTGAAGAAATGATTGTTCCAAAAATACATTTTAAACAATTGTCCAGTTAGGAGAAAAAGATGGATAGTCACAAACTGGGTGAGCTAGGAAGAGGAATTAAGATTGGATCAGCAGCAATGGGGTGGAGAGAAAGAGTAAGAGACAAGAAACAGAACTCTAAGCTTGGAGGTGTTGTTCTTGACACCCTGTCATTGACTCCAGAGAACACACACTGTTTTAGCTGTTGTTGCACATTGAAGATACCTGTTAATTGCCATTCACAATACAACTCTCTAGAGACTCTGCTCTCCACCACCCAACCATGACAGGACAAGCAAAGAAATCCTTCACTAATGCTGAGGTAGCATCAATCACCAGAATTTTTCCTTCACACCAAAGTGAAGTCAAATAAAGACAAAAGCGGAACTAAACGTTGGCTCATCACTAAACCTTTTTAAATCATTTTTATAACGCTTTACTTCTAAAGTAAGAAAAGACCTCATTTTCATATTATAAACTCTTACTGAGATCCAAAGTACAATGTACCTGAGGCAGATGCAAGCTGTAGATCCATGTATGGATGCAGCCTTCACTGCACCTGCTCCAGCTCAGCCTGCTGTCTGCAAGCCTCTGTGACACCCACTTGAAAGCTTTTTCCCAGCATCCACTAGCCAGCCAGAAGTGTTGGATCATTAAGGGTTTAGGCAGCATCCTCAGCTGAGGATGGGTGAGAATCTATGGATTAAAAACCCATGGCATGCAACTCAGAGACACTGGCTCTGCTAGTGTAATAATTAACCACTTTCTAGTTTTGTATATAATACTCTGATATGGGGGCTTTTTGGACTCCAGAGAAACAACGCACCTCCCCTACCCCTCAGGGCTAGTTCCAGACACAGAAAAAGACTCACAAATTCACCTTTTTTGGGGGTGGGGTTGATTGTGGGGCTTGAACTCAGGGCCTGGGCACTGTCCCAGAGCTTTTTCACTCAAGGCTAGCACTCTACTACTTTGAGCTACAGCTCTACTTCCAGTTTTCTGGTGGTTAATTGGAGATAAGAGTCTCATGGACTGTTTCCTGACTTGGCTGGCTTTGAACCACGATCCTCGGATACCATCCTCCTGTGTAACTAGGATTACAGGTGTGAGCCACCAGCACCTGGTTACAATGTCACATTTCATGTTCAAACCCACCCATCTAGAACATGTGCCTCAGCCTCAGCCACCTCTTTTAGGTGCTTTCTCAGGGTTCTCACTCTGGGCCATTATCCACATTTCTGAATCACCTCAGGTTCAAATAACAGACAGCAAAAAAGCAACTTAAGCCTCAGGACTCTGTCAAATTAGCTCATCCCATGCCTACCTATCCTGCCCCACCATTGCTTCCTACATAAACAATAATGAAAGCTTTTGCCCATGTTTCTTCCTCATTCTCTTTACCTCTTAACTCATGTTAGTGCCTCCTCATGGTACTGCCTATAGTTTGTCCTGTCTCCTACTCCTAAGATCCCTGGGTATAGCAAGCTATTTTTTTTTCCTATGGCAGCCATTCCTTGCCAGACCTGAATAATAATTAAACCTAATTTTTCAAACAACCATATCCCATACTTGAGTAAGTTTGCACCCCAACTTACCCAAAGCATTAATATACTCCGTATCATATCTCCGTTGACTCCTTTCCATCTCTCTCTTATTTCTCTACCCCTATCCCAAAGCTCTTTGTAGAGCTTGTATCTGGGGCAATTTCCAGTCTAACAATTGCTCTAATGGAAGCCAAGCATCCTTCTCTTCTCCTCTGGGGCTCTAGGTGATCACTATGCAATCCCAGGGTCTTTTCTTAAAATCAAAATCACACTCATCATTATCCAACCAGCAATATTATCAGTGGTTAAAAACAACATCTCAAATGGGGCTCTGGTAGCTCATGCCTGTAATCCTAGCTATTCAAGAGGCTGAGATGTGAGGATCACATCACTTTCCTTCATCAGGAATGTCTGTGAAAGTCTCCAATTAACCACCAAAAAGCCAGAAGTGGAGCTCTGGCTCAGGTGGTATCACTATCCTGAGCAAAAAGGCTTGTAGACAGACAAGAGCCTAAGTTCTGATTTCAAGCCCCAAGACCAGTACAAACAAAGCAACAACAACAACAACAACACCCAACCTCTCAGAAAGTTTGTGTTCCAAGATTTATTTTTTAAAAAATCTAGTAAAAAACCTCGTGGAACTCTATTTGATTAAAATAGGCAGTTACTCTACCTGAGAGCCCAACTTACCTCTAAAAAGACATTCATGTATCAGGCATATGTGGGTGGCCTGGTAATTAGATCTAAGTTAAACAGTAGCTTTTAAGCCATTCATTGTAATGAAACAGTAATTGTAATGTCTCTGAGGAAAAAATAGACTGGGCGATCCACTACTGTATAAGCTTGGTTCTTTTTTTTTTTTCATTTTAAACAAGAAGTTTATTTAAACAACAAGACGCTTGACTTGAAGGGAAAACTATCTAGGATTCTTTTTTTTAAGAGTAATTTACCCCTACTTAAAGACAGATTGCCCTACATGTAACAGCTACGTACAAAAAAAGTTATAAAATTGTCCTTGGTTTTACAATGATAAATGAAAACATTAAAGTTCTCCAATCAAACAAGGTATGCAAGGGTTTTTGTTGTTTTTTTTTCTTTTTTCTTTTTGTTAAAACAGTGAGAGCGTGGGCTGGGAAGGTGGCTCAGTGGTAGAGCGCTTGCCTTGCATACATGAGGCACTGGGTTCGATTCCTCAGCACCACATAAGCAAAAAGAAAAAAGCCGGAGGTGGCACTTTGGCTCAAGTGGTAGAGCGCTAGCCTTGAGCTGAAGAGCTGAGGGACAGTGCCCAGGCCCAGAGTTCAGGCTCCAGACTGGACCCCCAAAAAAAAAGTGAGAGCAAAATAATTTACTGAAATATAAAGATAAAAGCTGAATGAGCATGCCACAAATGGAGAAGGGGGATATTTTCACAGAACCAGTATTTTTCCCCATCCATCTCCATTTGATGCCAATCAAAATATACCATTGGCTATTTAGTTTAAAAGAAAAAAGAAAAGCAATATGCTTGTGCACATACACCAGTTACTTTATATACAATAAAGGAATGGGGAAGGGGAAAATGAAAGAATAGAGAAAACTATACTGTAGTAGTCAGGATGTGGTGGAACCAAATTGCAGTTTTCTAATTAAGAATGTATTCTTGGTCTATAAAAACAAAGTTTGGGAGCAAAGTAGCAGGTTCCCTTTTTTAGTAGACACCTCCTGTCTGCTGCTGGAACACATCAATTGTATCTCCATCCTCCATTTCCACCTGTGCAGGTGTGTCTGTGTCATTGATTGGCTGCCCATCAAATCGGAATCTGATCTGCCTCATTGACAAACCCTGTGGTTCACAATAGGCTTTCATTAGTTTACTAAGTGGTGTATGCCTCTTAATCTTAAACTGCACCACAGAACCATCCTGCCCCGCCACCTTCAGATGAATAAGATCGTTGTTCGCAGTCTTGACTCCTTCCTTGGGCTTTTCGTCGGCCATCACGAGCGCCGGAGTCTCCTCAGATGCCGCTTCACAAAAGAGGACCCCAGTCTGCACACTAGGCAGTAGCACAGCAGCTGGAGGAGGTGGCAGCAGTGGACGAGGTGGAGGGGACCTAAGCTTGGTTCTTGAAAGGGTTTACACCGTCTCACTAGGATATTTCTCATACTTACAAAATAAGCTACTGAAATGTCAGGGGCCAAGCCTCCTGCTTACTCTTCCACCACCCTTATTAGTAAATCTTTTCTAAATGGACTCATCTTGGGACAGACAGCTGTGAAGTCTAATTTTTTTTTAAATATTTGTAATTGCGTCAAGGATGGGAATTCTTTGGGGTATGCCTTAAATAAAGAACAGACTCTCTCACAAGCTTGGCCCCTTCCCATCTGCAGATAACTGTGGGAGGGGCAGGTCACAGTTCATAAATTAGGTGTAGGCTCCTTTCTTAACCAGGATTCCTTTGATTGCAAGCAACAGAAATCCAACCCAATCTGGTAAAATAAAAGGGAAAGTGTCACTGAGCATTATTCAAAACTCAAGACCTCAGCATTCTTAGATCCCAAAGGTTCATACAGTGTCTCCTGCTTTTGTTCTTGCTTTCTGTTCACTCTGCCTGTCCCATTTGAAACCAAGTTCTCACCTCAGAGTAACAAATTAACTGCTGGCAAAGCCAGGCTTGCGTCCCTACCTTAGAATGGCGGAGGGAGAGCCTCTCTTGCAGTTGCCTTAGCAAAAGCCATGAGACTCAGTCTCAGTGGAGAATGCAGGTAATATGTTCACCTCCTAACCATTCACATGACTATGGAGATGTGATGATTTGATTGGTCCAGACTGAATCAGTTGCCTCCAAGGGAGAAAAGGTAGCCTCCAACGAAGATCATGCTGCTCTTACCAAATGGTTATCACCACGACGTGACAGATGCCAGTCAGAAGAGACAAATTCCTCATAGTAAAGGAGCAGGTCAAATAGTGTCTGCTTTATTCTCAAGACTACTTGCAAAGCTAATGCTTTGCCTTAGACTTCTAATGTCAGTTGACTATAATGTTGTAAGTAACTTTCTATGTGTTTTTGAAAAAAGTGTGTATGTCTGCCAAGTTTTAGGTGTCCCATGGTGATTGGAAATAAATAATGCCACTTCTTCCCTCTCCAGCCTATGAACAGCTCAAATGTGACATAAAACAGGTGCTATTAGGGGAGTTCTCTGAAGATAAATGATCTGGAAATGCAAATTATCTACAGAGTCTCACTATTGGATGAAAGGGAGTATTTATCCCATTGTTACTGTGCAAGATCCTGTGAAAGTCACCTGTCCCGAAAGGAACCTTACTTCCTACTAATAAAAATTGCCACTGGAGGAAAAGAGAAGCATCTTTATGCTGCCATTTCCTTTCCTCTCTGCAGAGGAATTCCTCCAGTGACAAGTTAGCAATGAGGCAATGGTGACAAATATATAAGCTTTCTAGTAGTGGCTGAGATGAGCTGACTACTGTCTAGGCCTGACATGTGCTGTGTACACCACATCAGTATGGGGCTGATGCCATTTGGGACTCAGCTCAACTGTCATCACACCAGGCTTTCCACGACCATCCTATCTGAAGTTCTCCATTCTAGTTCCCCTCTGCTGCAGCTCAGTGTTCTTCTTAATAGCACTTCTCAGGTTATTATGTTGTCTCCCTCAGTAGTACATAACCTCTGGGAGAAATGGAGCTGTGGGTGGTGATCATCTTCTACAGTGCCTGGAACAAAATAGGCATTTGGTAAAGGATGGACAGATGGAGGGATGGATGGATGGACAGGCCTCAAGTTGCCTCTAGGACTCTGTTTTTTAGCCTAGAAGAGAATCTGCTGTGATAATTATAGAAAATAAATCTATCAACAATCACAGTATTATGCAGCCCATTAGCTACAGGGTTTATTAACACTTTGGAGAATTCTGCACTTGAGATCAGAAAGATTAAAAAGGAAGGGAGTGTGCTGAGTCAACAAAGTCAGCGAAGGCGAGTTTGTTCCGCAGCGTTAGCTGCCTAGAGGGTCAAGGGAGAACCCCTGGCCTCGTCATCAGCAGAATTTTAGATGAGGCTGCACTGTTGCCATTGATTGTACTTACCTAGTTTCCATATGAACGGACACTTATAATTCAGCTGAATGGTTACAGTATCTGGGGGTTGGGAGGGGTCTTTAGTCTCCTCTGTGTAGCCCCTGATGGCCAGGATACCTATCAACTTGGAGATCTGTGAGGCAGATCCAAACCCGTCATTGGTTGCCTGTAGTTTTGGATCAGTGGAGAATTCCATCTGTCAGGGCATTTGCTGCATCATAACAGTTGTTGAAATTTTTTTCAGGCAACAGATGAAGAACTCTGTCTACAGAAGCCGGCAGTCTCTGAACAGCCCCAGTCCAGGAGAAACTGAGATGGACCTTCTGGTCACTCGGGAGCGACCCCGGCGTGGAATCCGCAACAGTGGCTATGACGTAAGTCTCTGGTGGGCTGGGGTGAACTCAAGCTTTAAAAGGGAACAGAACATCCCATAATGTTTAGGTTTATTTCGTGTTTGTGGAATTTTAATATACACTACAATATTTTCTACAGTGTTTTCTTTTTTCTTCCCTCTTTTGCAAAGTAAGACTACTTAGAATGTGTCAGGGTAACAAATCATTGCTAAAAGGATCATGATTTAACTACTGCAAATAGTTACATGACTGACCATAAACACAATGAAAATTCTAAGTAGCCTTCATTCCTCATCCTCTGTCCTTAGAAATGCATTAAGAACCACAGAAATGATGTAGAATTCTGTTGAGCATGAGCTTCTCTTGATCCATAACAGTTGAAAATCTGGACTTGTTTCTGATTTCATAACTCCTCGGTATGCCATGGAAACAATAAGATGTTCAACAGAGCAAGCTGATGATTTCACGTGACGAGTCACATTCTCATATTCAGTAATCTGTCCAAATCACACAAATTCTTTTCCCAAGACTTCCCCACTGAGGCTTCCTAGCTAGCCATCATCCAGGACTTGCGGTTTCAAAGGGTCTTCATACACTCTTAGGCTTCTTGAGAGGACTTTCCATTCCCTTAAAATGTTCCTGCAATTACAAATTGAATTTTTTTCTGTCATAGGAGTTACAATTCAAATATGTCTGGAGAAACTTTTCTAATTTGAAAAACTATACTTTGAAAATGACACAATTTCATAAATAGATCATGCTAATTTTAAGGCAAGATTATTTTTTCCCATTTGGATTGGTCATTGTTTGTTACAAAAGCTTAAAATGGTCTTCTTAAATGGTCTCATTAAAAGCAGGTATATTCTACTTAATCTGAAATTCTGATGATCTTCCTTATATTGAAATTTGATATTTGTATCAATGGTAATACTCATCTTTTTTGTTCCTTTTTCTTTGTGAATAAGATGGTTTGATAGCTTTGACCATATCTTTTTTTTCTGTTAGGTTAAACTATCCTAACAGATAATTTTTCTCCTTTCTCATTTTCTTTTCTCATTTCAATTCATTCATTGACTTGATCAACCTAAGTTGTAAGTTTCTAATTAACCCCTACTCCCAAGAGTGAACATTCTTTCTGGATGATCACTTACTTTGAAGAACTTGGGATACATACGAACGGTTTTAGTTTATAGCATGATAAATATTTATAGATTGCTTTTGAGAGTCCAGGCATATAGTTAGGAGGACCTGAGTCAGAGATTTTCTTGAAATCTTAAAAAGACAACATTGCTGCAGGCTCTGGAGGCTTACACCTGTAATCCTAGCTACTCAGGATGCTGAGATCTGAGGGCCGCAGTTCAAAACCAGCCCAGTCAGGAAAATCCATGAGACTCATCTCCCATTAACCACCAGAAAACTGGAAGTGGCATTGTGGCTCAAAGTGATAGAGCACTAGTCTTGAGTGAAAAAGCTCAGGGACAGCACCTAGGCCCTGAGTTCAAGCCCCACAATCGAAAAAAGAAAAAAAAAAGACAACATTGTGCATGTTCCTAGACGATGCTACTTGCATTGCTCACCTATAATCTCTGGAAGGACATGTGAGTACATTACGTCGGCTAATAAGAGAACGTATTCTTAAATGCACATCTTCACAGTCATGTATAAATATTTTGAGTACAGGTTTAGGGAGATTCTCTTCACTGTAAGTTTTTTCAAAAATATGCATTGCTTTGAAAAGTGCATAGTATCTCAAAAACATACATGTAGGCTTCCTTAGAATCTAGGCATCGATTTTAGTAACTTAGATTGTAAGCTATAGAACATTGCTTATTTGTAGCTCCTCTTGTGTTTTTTATACTAATCAGATGGAAAGTAGCTGAGCTTTACTGACATATGCTGCAGATGAAGCCTTTTTATGTGTCTCATCTAATTGAATTTGCATTCTTTCCAGGTGTGTTAATGCTCTTCTTATGCCCATTATTGCATGAATGAGGAAACTGAGACTCAGAGTAGTTACACAGTGTGTTCAATATCAGAGCTCATCCCTCTTTATTTTTCAGCACTGGAGTTTGAACTCGGGAGCTCATCTTGCCAGGCAGGTACTCTACCACTTGAGCCATACCTCCAGCTCTTTTAACTTTAGTAATTTTTAATATATAATATAGGGGGGTCTCACATTTTGCTCAGGTTGGCCTGGACTCTGATCCTCTCATTTACATATCCCATGTAGCTAGCTAAAATGACAGCTGTGAGTCATTACACCCAACCTTTTATTAGTTAGGATGAGCGCCCAAAAACTTTTTGCACCAGCTGATCCCAAACCTCAATCTTCCTAGTCTCAGTCTCCCAAGTATTCAGAATTATAGGCATGAGTCACCATGCACAGCACAGTCCTCTTTATTTTGTGCCAGCACTGGGGCTTGAACTTGAGTCCTGGGCACTGTTCATTAGCTTTTACACTTAAAACTGGTGCTCTACCACTTGAGCGACAGTTCCACTTCCAGCTTTTTGCTAGTTAGTTGAAGATAAGGATCTCATGGACTTTCCTGCCCAGGTTGGGCTTAATCCTCTTAATCACAAGAATATGACTTTTATTAGTACATCCTCACCATACATCTGTTTGCATGTAATATGATATATATCATGTATTTCTGAATCTCCGAAGAGACAAGACATCAAATCTCAGAAGGATTCTTACAGGAGTAACTCACATAAGCAAAAAATAGATCAGCAAAGAAAGTACAAAAAAGAAGCAAGTCATAGTTTTAAACAATGCCTTCATTTTCTGAGCTTTTTTGATTTCTCTAAAAATGTCAAGGCATCCCTGGCAAAAGAACCCATTAGCCCAGCAGTGAACCTGTCATTTGGTTGGAAATGTGTCATTCTCCCTACTGGGTTTGGAGATTTCAAAAACTAGGCCAAAATATCCAGTCCTTTCTGCCAGGTTAGGAAAGCTTGACACTGCACAAACAAAACTCAGGAGATGGATTTAATTTTGAATTTATCAAAAGTTTGACTGGAGTCTCAAAGGAAAAGTCCCCACTTAAATGAATAAATGCATGAAGAAGCAGACAAACCATGCCACACAGGCAAACTGTAGTCCCAGGATGGATGGCAGCCTGGCTTGTCTCAACATTTTCCTATTACAGCAAGAGGTGTTCTACCTTGCAGAAGAGAGCCAACTCCAGGGGGTTGAGATCACTGCGCTTCACAGCAACAGTTCTAAGCCTCTTGGTCACTCTGTTAGCCAGGATATGCCCACCAGTAACCATGGCCCAGTTGATAGTAATTTTCTAAGATTATATACCTTTGTTTAAAAAAGGCTTACTCTTGTAATCCTCTCAGGAGGCTGAGATCAGAGGATAGTGATTTGAAGTCAGTCCAGGAATAAAATCAGAGAGATTCTTCCAATTAACCAGTAAAGTGCCAGACTGGAGGCGTGAACAGTAGCCATGAACAAGAAAGCTGATGAAAGAGAGCATGAAGCCCTGAGTTCAAGCCCTATTATACACACACACACACACACACTCACACACACACACACACTCACACACACACAGGTGTGCACGTGCACACGAGAAGTATTTTCAAAAGATGACTCAACCAGACACTCAACATGCCCAAGTTCACCACTGAAATTAATTGATTCCAATGCATGAAAACACATAGAGAAGCAAATGTCAGCCTAATATATAAAAACAAAAGTCTATTTGTAAATATCTTACTTAAAGTGTTATTTTCTGAATGGAAGTCAGGCAGAAAAGAATGACCAAAAAAAAGGCTTAACTAGGCAGAATAAAAATCCAAGTGGTTTTTTTCTCATATTTTCCCTAATATGTGCATGATGAAACAGCCATGCTTGTAAAGGACAAGAAATAATCAAATCAAACCATTCTCTAGAAATAAAAGTGCATCTCCTCAACCTGGTCTGTTTCCTGGACTTTTTTGTTGTTGTTATTGATCCTGGGGCTTGAACTCAGGGCTTGGGTGCTGTCCTGAGCTTCTTCGCTCAAGGCTAGCACTCTACCACTTTGAACCGCAGCTCTACCTCTGGTTTTCTGATAGGTAATTGGAGATAAGTGTCTCATGGCCTTCCTGCCCAGGTGGCTTTGAACCCTGTTCCTCAGATCTCAGCATCCTAAGTAGCTAGTATTACAGGCATGAGCCACCAGTACTCAGCTATTCCTTTTTGTTTGCTTGATGGAACCCAAGGCTTCATGCATGCTAGACAAGTCTTCTGCCTCTTAGCTATATCCCAGCCATAATCTATGTTGTGGAGTTTTAGAATCTATGAATAGAAGAAATGGAGTCACATATGAACCTTGTCTGTATAGGCCAATGTGTGTCTTCGCCTATAGCCAATTGAAACATAGATTGTTTGAATTGTGACTTTGAAAGTTAATACTGACTTTAAGAAGTAGTCCACTGGTAAGCTACTACCTTTAAGTTTCTTCCCAGTATCTTATCTAAAGTTCTACATACAAGTACAGGTGAGTTCTGATATACCATGATTTCACTTGAGATTTTTTTTTTGGCTTATGAGAGCTTCTGATTTTGAGTTTGAACCTTTTGTACAATGCTATGCCACCAGCTCTCTTAGATGATGGTGGTCAGTGACAATGAACCACATCTCCTAGAGAGTGACACAGTTTCAGAGTACACCACCCATACCATAGTGTGCTGTGTCACCAACCATTTTGAATGTGGTTGCCTCTCATTATGTCTACAAAATACCCAGCTCTATGCAGACTTGAGATATGCAACCCTTCACTATCAAATATGCTTTGTATTAAGTGGTTTCACCCCACTGTAGGCTAATCTAAGTGTCTGAACATGTTTAAGGTAGGCTGGTCTAAGCTACAATGCTTGGTAGGTCAGTTGTCTCAAATGTATTCATTTTATTATCAACTCATCATGGGTTTGTTGAGACAGAAGTTAGTCCAGAGGCACCTGTATTTGGAAAGCATTTCTGGCAGACCAACAGGCTCAACCCTTAAAAACTGAGCAGAGTTTGAAAATGT